GCCATGCAATGGTTAGATTCAATGCTTTTAAATCGATAGTCTATGATTAACTTTTATCACATCACGTCTGACATTTAGCTATTTTCTTTCAAAATTCTGCCTCTTTAGTACCGATTGATAAGTAGGTATTGGACAATGATATACAATTTTATCTATTTCAATACTTAGTTTTAAGTATATTTCTAATAACATAAGTACATTTAGGTCATTTAAATTTAAACAACAATAAAACCACAGAGCTGTAACTTGAAGTATGAGAAGTCTATTAACACATGGATATACCTATGTTCATGCGCATAGTTCAAACAGCTCTGTATCTACACATTATGAATTAACATCTTCAACAAAGCCTCTTTCTTTGATTAAGTATATTACATCGTTATCGTCTATTTCTTATTTGTCGAAACGTTACCTTTTTTATTTATCTTATCCAGCTACTAATAGAACATTCAATCTTCCAGCCTGTGCTGTTGTAGCCATTATTTTCAGAATTGCTATAATAAAACATGTTGCTGACCGTACTCGCGAGCTTATCAATTTACGTATGGAAAATTCCCGAGTACAACGAAAAGAAATGTGATGTCTGAAATTTTAAAGATGTTTTATCCTGTTTACGTTCGTTTTTTTATCATCGCTGTCGCGAGTCGGAGCGAGCACGAGGGATGCAGTAAGGGGGTCAACGGCCTCAATCTCATCGCTGTGATTCGGTTCAGAATGCATTATTTTGATTCACCGCAGTCCTACATCATCCCAATCGAAAATTCCACGCTTGATATCTTCTTTGGTAACAACGCTGCTCTCTTTTGATTTATGACTGCTGCGTTACCAGTTTTTTGTGTTTCGTCTTTGATATTAACTACTACATGTTGGTATTCGTTATAATTCGACGGGCTCGTTGGACAAATGAGAGGCTAATAAGCAACGGGATTCTAGCGATATATTTCTAAAATCATTTCATATTTACTTACAAATTCGGATATTATATGACTGGTAGCAATATCAATGAAAATCCGGAAGGTTAGCGTTTCGATTCCTGTCAATTTCAAAGGTACTCAGCCAAAATAGGCCGACAGCCCATCTTTTCCCGACGTTCTTCTATGATGTGAACTCCATCCTTGTCTGTCCTTCTCATGTTTTAAAAAATAGATAAAGTCAAGGTCTGGCGTCGATCATTGAAATTTCTATTGTGATTCAAATAGATCATAGTATGAATTGGAGGCGTCGCACGTTTTAAGAGCGTTAAAGGTTATATATTTTCCTTGCAATGGAGAGTTTTATCAATGGACAATCTGCGGCTTGTTTTCACCGGAGATGAATCGACAACTCTAAAGTTTATTTGGCATCACGTCAATACAATGGAGATATGTGTGGCCATTAGTCTCGACCGCCGCGTGCCGACCTTTAAGATGTCTCCCTGATAAGGAACGCGGTTTAATAACAGAATTTATTCTTAGCTCGCTTAAAACTCTCATTGTTTCCGACTTGTTTATAAAACGTACAATGGATATTAATAATTTAACTGTAACGGTTTGAAATTGTAGTATTCGCGAGTAGTATATTAAGTAAGCAATTCAGTTTTAACGGTTAAAACGGAACACGGAGAAACGAAACGTTCAGTTGCGTAAACCACTAATTTCTCCGAATACCAACTACGATAAACAGATGGCGCTACCGTAGACTTTGACACCCTCCATCTTTTGTTCCCCCGTGACCACGACTGTTGGCAAACATCTAAAACGTCGAGCCATATTTTAAAACATTTTAAATAAGTTAATTTATATATTTCGCGTTTTACACCGTTAAAGTGTTATGTAACGCTTATCTTAGACAGTTCTTCACCGATACATCCCTTGCTTCGCATCGAAGGTATTGTTTCTGTGGTTCTAGAAATCAACTGGAATGCCGTTTAAAAGCCTTCTCGCTTAAGAAATAATGTTATCAGTTAGATTATAGATTCCATTGGAGGTCGTTTTCGTGTTCCCATTACCTCGGACATTCCAGATGAATCATGCCCCAATTGCTCCTTTCTGCGAACCTGCTTTACTTAAATTGAGTTGGTACCGTTAATAATCGTCAAATAATAAATTTCGTCGTTCTACTTATTTCAATTGGGTCAGACGTCTATAGGTTTATACGATTTATTGTTGCTTTTAATGAGTATTGTCTGTAATTTACGCGAATGGTACTCTGGTTTGAAACACGAAATATATTAGTATATTTAATCGTAGTTAAACGATGAAGACTGATGTCTTACGCTTCGGTTCAATGTTAAAAAATTGTCTAAGTAAAAACTTAGTTTATTTTGAGAGTATTATAAACTATAATCACCTTGGTATCTAAATGGCTAAACGTGTTGCATAGCATTGCCTTGAGTGCAGAGGTCCTACGTTCAAATCCCGGGGATAGTTCGGTCATGCAGGGCAGTAAGTCAGATCAACAGCATGTAAATTAATAACCGATCAATGAAACGGACACAGAAATGTGCTCGCCCCATGCCCCACGAGAGGTAACGGCATTTCACACTAAATAAATTCGATATTATTTAAAATAGCTTGCTTAAAATACAATTTTTCATAGACCAACCTATCATGCTTACATTTAACATAACGCTATATAGGAGAGACTTCCATACATTGATGCTAACGATTTCTTAAATTATAGCCTGTATTGTGTAAACAGCTAGTCATGCCTTTAGTCATTGGCCTAATGAATAAGTTATTCAATGCAAACAATTACATAACAATAAACAAACATTAATTTCGCTCGGAGCATCGTTACGTTATTTCGGTAGAAGAGTCTACGGTACAATAATCATGTCAACCAAACATAAATTTTGTTGTCGAAGGGCGAAAACTCGTGTTACGTATTGAAAAGTGAAAGGCAGTTGAGTGGTCTAGTCAAATACATTTGCCTCTATGTTATATGAACTGGCAAACCTTCGGTATTTCCGATCTAATAAGTAAGAATACTTTTAACAGGTTTGAGGAATGCGACATAACTCTCGGTAATACGTTTAGTACAAGTGTTTATAGCTCGTCTGTTATAGGATGATAAGTTTGACGATTATAATTGTAATAGGGTGGTATGCAACCACTTTATTGTTTTACTACTTCATAGAAGCAATTGTATGGTATTAAGAATATGTAGTTTCATTCCAACATCAGTTTTCTATTGAATTGCACGGCAATGTAATAAGTGGGCGGTTCCCATCAATAAAATACGATATTAATATTGTACCAACAAAACAATACTTTACAGGAAATATCTAACTTAAATTAGAGATAGGCGGAACTTGAACCGGCTTACACAACTTTCTGTGCTTTGGCTCTAACATATTAAGCTATTGTGGCCTACCGTGTGCTTAAAACTACAACATGGATCGCTCTTTGAAGTCTCATCCGAGTCGTCATTTTTTTCAAACTAACAATATTTTTAATTTATATAATGCCCTCACATGCCACTTGTGAAAAATAAGAAGGTTTTCAAACAAACTTGTCACCACCTATAAGACAAGGTATAGTAATTTAAAATTCCGTTGCGCATTACTTAAAATAGTAATGTCCAGTGAAACGTTACACGTAGAACAGTGATAAAGATAGTGAAAAAGCACAGAGCCATAAAGCACTGCGCGCGCATCACTATCTATTGTAGGACAGTTCTTTATCTCTAAACTTAACGTACCCATTTACTCCGAGGTAAACATTTGACTTAGAAAGTGCAGTTCCGTGTAACTCGACAACAGATAAAATTTTCGTGCTTATTTGTAATGGCCCGAATTCTTGGTACTTTGATTTCGGTGGATATCTGGCGCCTGAAGACGCGAACAATGGGGACAATACACCCTTAGTGATAACTGCACATAGATACCGCAAATACTTGTCTTAACTCTTATCTTAATAGATAAACTCATTTAAACGAAATACTTAACGGTTTAAAACGTAATATATTCTCTTCGGTCACGGGGCCCCGGATACCAGCCAGAGAGGCTGATTCAAAGTATCCGAAACGTCGTACCTATATTTCGAATTTTAAACCATTAAAAATGTTTTATTAAACTTCCTACTCGAGTGACCATGGCTGATGCAAGGTATCCGAAACGTCATTTATTTCAATTTTCACACCGTTAAAAATGTTTTATTTAAATTATTACTCGAGTAATCTACAGATAATACTTAATAAACATCCCAACATCCAAATATTTGAGGTAACGCTTTTGAAATGGTGCGCTTTAAATAATCTATAGTAAACAAGATTAGCCGAAATTAGGCAACGTTAGTGTAAAATAGTTATGTGATAATTGATAGTAATTTCCAAACTTAAATATTGCATAGCTATGGTCTTATCATAGTGTTGTAATCGGTTTACAAATTGGATCGCATAACGGGGTCGTTGTCAATATGTCTACTCGCATATGTGTAGCAGGCGTCCGCCCGCGGTTATGTGCACTCACAATTACTTACAGCACAATAAATCGATGTCATGCTTCAACTTCACCCTCATACCAATAAAACTCGACTCTCAATTTTTTGTGCCCGTCAGCTGTCAATCCGGACCACGAATTCGGGACCTCGAGGGACCGCGAATTATAATCTCATTCCATTGTAAAAACGTTAACGTGCTCGAGTAAATGACTTTTTAAATGGAAGTTTTAGCACCCGTTAATTTACGACGGTCGTTCGAGTGTTTTTTTAATGATAGAGGAGGACAGACATAGCATTCATTTCACTTGATGGTTTGTTGAATTTTTAAAACATGTTAGACCTGATGGGGACCGACCCATTGATCATTACAGCCATACATTGCTACCATTGGAGCCTGTGTTTATGCAGAATCGCATCGAAAACGTTAAAGTATTTCGTAAACGGCTCAAACGATATTATAATTCGTTTCCCAGAATACGCCCGCTTAGTATACCGACGGCGATCAATATTCTATGTTTTATGATCTTGGAAAGGAAATTATGAAATTAAAACGCATTGACGATACGTGAGTGAATTAAAATGATGCATACAATGCGTATCTTCTCACGATGGTTATTATACAGAAGCATTGTCGGAGTCACGGTAGAGCGGGCTCCGAGGAAGCCTCCCTCAGGACTGCGTATGCCATTAGAATTTAGATTGTTATCATTACTTGACAATGGTGTGGTTTAATGAAGCGGAATATCCATTCGAGAGTCGCGTTTAAAACTATTTTTAACCTTTCCTGTTTATTGGTAGCTTAACAGCGTTTATCCTGCGGGTTCACACACAACGCTAACACAAGTACCGAGAATTAAATTTGAAAATAGGACCTACCAAGTAGCAATAAAACATAGAAAAGAATATATTTTACGTAAAACAAAGTAGTTTTTGGAGATGATATGCCAAATATTAACAGAATTGCATGCTAGGCTTAAAAGGTTCAACAAAGACTCTTTTGTTTTTATAGTATGAATATTTCAAGATCCATAACAATTTATCTTCTATGATCTCTTCTTAAGGCTCTCGAACAGTAATTCTCTTGAAGGCAAACATATCTGAAACATCTTCATACATCATACTTTAGCCTCGGGCGATGTGCATAGGCTATAATAATTCTTGGATCCGACGTTTCGCAACAAAACTGACTAAACTTCGTGATTAGTATAAATTATATTTGTAATTGTAGGTTACATCGGTTCCTCATTTTACCTGATTCGATATGTTATATGTAATTTATGTTATGTCACAAGAACTAGACGTAGTTACTAACCACTTAAAGCTAATAATGACCAAAGTCTTGCCAATTTTTATTTATATAAGGAATTCTATAGTATAAATTAGACGATATAATTAAATTGCACCATATTGCGGAAAGTCTTTGTATTTTTGTTCTCGAAAAATATTCGCCAAGATAAAAGATATTTATACTGGTAATAAGCGTTTGTAGTGCTGGGTCCTTCTGTTGTTTAAGATTACATTTTATTTGAAAACAATCTACAACTGTTTCTCTTTTTATCGGGGCTTCCTGCCTCAAGCAATAGGTATTGTCACCCTTTTGAAAGTATACAGTAAGGTAAAAATTGTAATGATTTTCATCATTGCATGTCTTTCGATATGCGGAAATCTACAGACTAAAACCGCGACGCGATTAAACTTCACGGCTTTTTCGTATGTGTGCGACCCGGAGGGATATTCGATAATCCTTCCACCCATATAATATAAAAAACCGCCTTCGGCACACTTGCTACTACTACTTAACTTTAATTCCATATAAGTTAGACTTGGGTACTGAGTATTTATGTATGTTTGTCCACAGATCGAACGCCTAGCTCAGTATGAGCGGCTGGTGGGAGGAGGATGTGCCAGGCGAAGAGCGGCGCGCCTCTCCGACTTGGAGCGCGTGCAGGACCTCTTCCCGCACGACTACCTCGCGCTGCACGACGCAGATGCGCTTGCGTCGCATCACGTACAGGTAAACATATAACCCTCTATTATACGTTACAGGCATTTAATTTTATTAAGAAAGCCATACGGCTCACATAAAAATATTTACTTAAATTTAAAATTTAAAATAAAACGGTTTAAAACGCGAAATATTTTAATTAAACTTGTTAAAAATTATTTCGCGTGTGAACTACAGATAGTGTATCTTCTATTATTTGGATCACACCATAAGTGATCTATCATTTACATAAATTAACAAGTAAAGAATTACATTTGACGGCACAAAACTAAACCTATATATCAATAATACGATAATTACTACAAATTACGATAATAACTCTACGCATTGAAGCTTTCCACTTCACCAGTTTTCCGGGTAGTGTTACGAGCCAAAGAAAACATTCATAATTTCTCTTCGGCACATTCAAATGCTTCTTGGCGATTATGACGTAGGATCGTTAAACGTAAACACGTAAGCCAGAGTTGAAAGCTTTGCGTAAGATGTATAGAAAATCATAATATGTATTTCATTACATTTATTTAACACACCTATTTTACACCAACAATTAATTTATATATAATGTAGTTGTCTGTAGTTTACGTAGTAGTACACATTTAAATGACACACTTTAACGGTTAAAAACGTATCGGATGCTTTGCAGGAGCCATAGTCAAGAGGAGACGTCGAAACGTCATCCCGTGGTGAAAATAATTTCAAATAACTAATGTATATCACGTTTTATTTAAACGATGTATCATAATCAAATATCAGTACGTTTAACTGTAGTTTACGCTAATAGTAAACTGTGTACTACTCGCGTAAACTACAGACAGTATAGGTACGTTTGTTAAAAATAATTTCAGCTATCCTTCTATATCAATTTGAAATTTATGCTATTCTTATGTAACATATTATGTATGTAATAATATATGTTCTTATTCTCTACTTTCGTTTTAGTGGAAGAATACAAATCAATGTATAAATAATTATTCCAGAAATCGAAAAGCCTGCGCAAGCGCCCGAGCTTGGATATCGGCGGAACAGTCGGCACGAACAGCTCGCTTCTGCCAAGAACTTTTATTATGGAAGCACCAGTTCAACTGTCGCCACTCGGGTCAACTTCCCCACCGCTAGACAGACATCTATTTCTCTTCAACGACCTGTTGCTGGTAGGAAAATCGAGAGGAGCGAATTGCTTTAAGCTGAAGGAGAGTGTAAGATTGGCAGAACTGTGGATATCAATGCCGGATGGTGAAGACACTGGTTTCTTGGTCGGGTGGCCCACTGTTGGTGGAGTTATCAACTACCTCGCTACTTACCCCACCCAAGCAGCTCGGGATACGTGGTATAGGTATGTGTTGAACTACTCAAATACTATAGGAATGTCAAACAGTTTTATGATCATCATCAGAATTTCCTATAGCTAGGATTTGACCCTTAGTATACTTGTATTCTAGGGTACAAAATTGCACAACATATTTTTACGCTGTTTCTCTAACCAGTTAAGGTACAGAGGTTCAAGTCCTGTCCGAGTCGTATTTTTTAAATTTAAAATCGATTGTAAATTCCTGTAGTGCCATTATGTGAAAAATATTAAAGTTTTCGAATGTAAAATTTTTAGTTATACTCAATCACTAAAAGTGTTTCAAGTGACAGACTAAGACTGGCAAAAAACCTAGAACCAACATAGCGATGATTTTTGTTAAATGTAGTAGAACAAATGTAAAAAAAATCATTGTCTCTTCCAGGAAAATTCAGAACGCCTTGAACACCCAGCTGACCAGCGAACCAAAGTCTACGAATATACAAATATTCTACAAAGACCAAACAAGTTCAATAGAATTCGTAAGTACACAATTTCACTCATTATAATGCAATTTTTTGCGGCCGCGGTGGGAAAACTGAGTAACTTTCGTTTCACTTTCTCACTTCATATCCTGAGATTTGTCTTTAAAAAACAGATCACGTACAATGGAGAGAATGTCGGTATGCCAAAATGAGACGAGGAATTGACGTTCTTTCGTATAAACATTCTTACTAAAAATCGTTAATTTAATCTTGAAATTATTAATATAAAAGTAAAACACTTTTAACGGTTTAAAATGTGAAATGTATAGTTAATTCATTTACAAATTATTTTAAGTACCTTAGGTACCGACATTGCGTTGGTTTGTTTTTGTTAGTTTCCCCCCCCCCGTACTGCTGTAAAGCAACTAAATTTATATTATAATAATAAACTCTTTACGGCTCAACTGTATATTATACTACGGTCAATACATATTTTTTTGATATTTTCATTATAATTCCAGTGCAAGACTGTATCAGTGAACCCTGATATGAGTGCCCGCTGCGTAGTCCGTCAAGCGCTGCACGTGCTGCAAGCGGGCGCTGAAACCGAAAATGATCACGACGAAGGAGATGGAGACGAGCGCTGGGGAGCTGCTAATGATTTCAATCTTTGGGTTCGAACTGGTCGAGAAGCGCCACCAACACCGCTGCAAGGAAACGAAAGACCACATGCGATTCAGGTAAATCAAAAAATTATTTAAAAAACAACCACTACATACACATAAACATTAGGGTATAAGTAATGAAAAATCCTTGCACTGTTTAGACTTACTTCTTTGTGTTAGTTGTTTTACCCATTTGTGGTGATTTATATTATTAAAATATATGACGAATTATAAATAAAAGAACTCATTAAGTTAACGCGTGGAATGAAACGAAAGATCGAACAAGAGAGTAGGTGTGAAAGGGACGGATATGAAAGAAGGGTAATTAATTAATATTTCCTCCCTTCGTAGCGATGGCGAAACTAACAATCAATTTGTATCTTTCATAGATGTCACGAATTAGACAAACACTCTCTAACGAAGACGGCTTTGACCTGGAACATGTTAATGCCAAGAATAATCCTTGCGGCCTCGTCTTTGAATTAAGGAAGAAGAATCAAGCTTTGAAGAGGTAAGCTATTTTTAAACTATACAAAAAAAACTAATCGTAATTATTTTTTACAATAGAGCGATATTAAGTTTTTATCATAATCTTCCGTTCTAGGGAAACTTCTAAACTGTACATATGTAACTTTCAAATCCTATAGTAAATAACGGTTAAGGCCTGTTAAAAAAAAATGAAAAGAATATATAACAAACAATGCGTTGTAGTTGTTGCATTTTAAGGTGGTACTACTAATAATCTTTTAAAATATTTATTAATTAACCTATTTAAAAAAATGTATATAACTTTTTATAGCAACACTAGCGGTGGTCGTGGATTGCGTCTCTTGCGCCGAGGTGGACGATTATTTGGGGTCTCATTGACTCGGCTATGCAGCGGCTCCCCTCCCCCCGCTCTGTTACACGCGCTGAAACGTTTACGTGCGCATGCGCCACTTACACATGGAGTTTTCAGACGCAGTGCCAATGCTAAAGCACTAAGACTACTTAGAGATAAGGTAGGTTATATTAATAGTAAATTAATAACATACACGAAATATTTTAACTATGACAGTCTAAAATATTTATTTTTCATTAACTATAAGGTTAAATATTCATTGAAATATAATTTAACCATTGTGACCAGGATTATATTATATTGATACAATCACGCAATATGCCTTATTTAATAAATTCTTCACCCGTTTCAGTTGGACACCCTAGGTCCATGGGCGCCAGGATGCCCTGAGTTAGACCGTGCCCCAGTGCTGTTACTAGCGGCGCTAGTGAAAGAATTTTTCCGAGCATTACCTCAGCCATTGCTTCTTGCCGAACTATACCCCGCCTGGCTTCAAGTCTTAAGTACGTATTTTATTATTTACCGTCAACCTGAGCTGATGCAGCGTGGTGGGCCTTTAACTAGTTTTGCTTATTGAGAATATAAACAAAAATGAAATTCAATTAATTTAAACGTTTTTTTGTTTCAGATCTACCACAAACCGAAAAAGTGCCAGCCGTTCGTTCCTTACTCCTAAAGTTGCCTAAGCCTCACTACACAATGCTAACCTACTTCGTGTGTCTATTGCAAGCGATTGCGAAAAAGTCTAACATAAACCTCATGTGCCCCATGAACTTAGGTGTTTGTGTCGGACCCAGTCTACTGTGGCCCACTGTCCCCTGCGACAAAGCCCCCAAGGCCGTACCTATGGTTGTAGAACTCCTCATCGTGAAAGCCGAAGCCCTATTCGGGCCTCAAATAGCTGGTCTTCTCGGAAACGGCTCTCCTGAATCTTCCAACGCTTTGCTCGACTCCGGCGCAGAAGAAAGCGATAGCCTTCATTCAGTCGGCATATCTTTAGACTCGATGGAGCTTTCCACACCAAGGAAGGAGAAACTCTCACTAAGCAGAGATTCGGGGCTGACGCTTTCAGAAGACGATTCTAACAGTAACGGTGGTAACAGCCCAGCTCCACGTAACATTTTACACAGTCTCTCGGCGCCAACTTGCAACATGCAACAAGAAAAATTGGGTAACACTCGTTACAACACAGACAACCACAACGTAAATGGACTTCCGCCGATTAATCAGCGGCAGCAAAGTATTTACACGAATAAGGCAGAAATATACAGTACCGTGAACGAGGATCTATACACGATGCCATATATGGGCGAGAAATATGTGCATAATTCGATAAACATCGGAATTTCTAACGGCGTCGACGACAGAAATTACGTGTCGAAGACCGCCGTTCAAAGATCGACGGCCGATATTTATGGCCAGGGTCCAGCTAAGTACATCACGGGGATGGAACCCCAGAAGCCACCGAGAAGCAATGTTTCGAAGGCGGCGCGCACTTCCAAAGTTTACAGTATGTACTCGGATACACAAGAGGCCGATAAAAATATGACTAATAAAGGTTTCAATCGCGCCAAGAGTTCCGACAATTTACTAGAGTCGAAACAAGATATCAGTTCGAATCGAGACCTGATTTCCAGTCAAGAAAATATCGTATACAGCAACATTCACGACCTCGCCATGTTCACTGAAAATATACAACGTCAAAATCAATATCCAACGCGCTCCGAGTTACTGTCAAATATGAACACAAATTACTCTCGAGTTTACACGGGTTGGGAGAATAAAAGTCCCAACTACAGCAATCCAGGTAATGCGAATGAAAAGCTATATGGGCAAGTGAAGAAACATGGAGAATCCTCGCAAAAGTTGGAAGGAAAGGAATCACCGGCAGCCACCATTTTTACTAGAAATGACTGGTCTCGTCAAGCAGCGAGGACGAAGAGTTTGGAAACGAACGACGAAGGGCAACATGTCTCGACTCGCAACGGCAACTACGACATAAACATCGTCAACAGTTGTCGTAAAAGACGCTTTGATCCAGCCCATATGTGTACGAAAAATTGCATTACATTATCTGTGGTAAACGGCAGAGACAAAGAGAAGCAAACACTCCATCCGCTTCAGAATTCGTATTCTTACATCGACGATATGCGAGCGAGCGCTGAAGAAAGCAAAAAGTCCAGAATTCGAACTTATAACAACAACAAGCTAAATCAATCTAAATCATTGGCGAACATTATTTTGCAAAGCGATTCCAGCAGCAACGACACTCTGTACCAGCCGCAGAGTTCATTCAACAGTCGCTCCACTGAATCGCCAGCGAGCGAAAACTCTTTCGAAAACTGCTACACGACCCAATACATTGAACCTCTGTACACGTCTGTGCACAGCCGCAGAAGGGACCTTTACCACGAAGACAAAACCAACATGTTCTCCTCCGATATCTACAAAGCGACACCGACTTCCGTCCAACCGGATTACACTGGTGACGAGCCGAATAACAATAAGAAACCTCCACACGTGCCACCGCCGGTCCCACCGCGAAAAATGGTGTATCAGAGGGTATTGAAGAAGTTTCAGCCAGTTCACGTAACTAAGGACGATAAAGTGTCGCGGTCTACGTCAGTGCCACCAGTATACAGGGACCCACCGAACGGTACAGAGAAGAACGAAAATGGTGTAGCATTGGATGGTTCTGAATCGGACACGGAGTCAGAATCGTACGTCTGAGTTGGATCAAAAAATATTAAAGGAGGGTGCAATAATAATCGTACGTTGATTCAACCATGCGTTTCAACCTGTATTTTATAATATGAGTTCAACTCATCGTATATGATCATGTCTGATTATGTTGATATAAGGTTTCAACATTAACTTCTAATCCTGTTGTATACTGTGTGCGACAGGGAATCGAATCTTTGTTTTTCTTATACTATTCTTAAAACTATAATTTTCATTGGTTAATGCGCGTAACATATAAGAGCACATGTAAATTGAAAAAGTATTTTAGATAGAAAAAGCGACACTGCATTACATTGCGCACGCGCAGCTCTATTAAAAAACCAGGACCCATTGTCGGATGTAAATTCGAAACCTGCCTGTGTATCTTTTAAATTCTAAAATATATTTTCAATAATAATCATAGTTTACTTATGTTTGAGGCGTTGAATTTAATTCCATAATAATGTTAGTTGTGATCCCGCCTTTTGTATCACGTGACCATAACCTGAATTGTTCCGGTGATGAGTTTCCAAAGACGTAAAAATAAAGCTTCAAACTATGTACAGAGTATTGGTTTTCTATAGGAGCTATGTTGATATTATATCTTAATAATAGTTTGTAGAATAAAATATCAGCCAAGATTGTTATTAAATGTAATGTTTTATAAAGTTTTATTTTAGGGTAACGTAAAATTATCTACTGTGTCATTTTATGTACTAGAAGATAGATAAAATAATATATGTACGTTTATTGTGTAAGTCGAGTGCCCTTGTATATAATGTATAAAAGTGTAACTAAAAGTATACAATTAAAATAACATTTTATACAGAAAATTAAGGCTTTCTATACTGTTCCTGTCCTTCTGAATTGGCTATAAGTTCAATATTATTATTTCTTTTCACATGTTGTATTATTATAACGAAAACTACATAATTTGCTGTAATAAATAATTTAATAATCCTGATTAACGGACGAAAATAATATTTTTTTAATCACAGTCACAATGTAAAAATAATAATGTCTTGTTTATACAATCTCTTAAATTACTAAACATATATAAAATACCTTGCTTTTTCAATCACAAAGGCTTAGATATAAATTTAAAAATTTGTTTAAATAGGGCAACTTAAGCAATGTACTCCATACCTATTGCTATATTTCTACTTAACTTAGTTGTACTTAATCTAATTAAACTTTTTAAAATAAATTCGATAATTTACATTCAACATAATAATGAGTCATTTAATACTTTAAATATCGTTTCAAATCGGTTACGTTTTCGATAGAAAATATTATAAGTACATCAATCAATAAATCGTTCTTAGTGGTGGCCACTAAATAAAGAACTAACCAGAACGATTCGACATCGAGGGCACCAAGACTACTCTGATGTGACGTAGAAGGATAAAACACGAGGTGGTTAATGTATTTAATGCGAGAAGAGAACAGGAAATAATTTTGCACCGCATGCTAAATAGTCCTACTGGTTTGTTCAATATTCTAAGTTGCGTTATAATATTTTTCTCTTGTCACTTAACTTGTAACATTAACCAAAATAATCTCAAATTCAATTCTTGATTTGTACAGTGACTGTCGTGTCATTGGACTCTCCGCTTGGTCTCTTTTCTGTATCCTCTTCTGGAACCACGTAGTTCCAGGGTTGCGTTTCTCCGGTTCCAAATAGGATGAAGTACACCGCTGAAATGATGTACAGCGACGCCCCGGTGAAAAATACTGGTCTCCATTCCGCAAATCCATTCTAGAACAAAATACATACATTTAGTCTCATCTTAAGTTGGAGTATAAACATCGTATACAAAACTACTAAAAACCATTACACACATTAAAAAATAAATATTTTGCAATAATATCTCTTCTAACTACTGTCTTTCAGTGGCATTGTTTTATAATTGAGTAGAACAGACAACCAAAATCAGCCGTATAACCTCTTAACAAGATGCACTATCGATATTTTAGCTTTGGATATTCGGATTTGATTAATTGGACTGAAACCGAAACGCGACTAACCATAACGGTTTTTTCATATGCGTTCAGGACCTGGACGGCATTTCTATATCCCTGCCATTTAATGTCCAAATTTCCAAATAAAATCCAAAATGTTTCAGTAACATAATAAATTGATTTGAAAAATTCTGGATCCAGCGCGATCGAATCCACGACCCATTAGCCATACGTTGCACTAACCATTATAACGCGCCCGACAAATTAATAAAAACGGATGGAAAGCAACTTTCGCTGCGAAGCTCTTTTAGGGTCAAGCATAACTTACATATTAGATGCAAGGTAATATTGTCAAGTATTGTTCTAACACGCGAGTAAAGCCGCAGGACATAAGCTAACTTATCAGGTACATTATTAACAATATACCTGACTATTAATGAATGGTGACATAGATCACATAAAAATCTTAAACTTCCTCAGACAATTAAAAACATATCGAGCTATCTTTGATATTACGTCAAACTTTAATTGATATCCTTTGCAGTTTATTTCCAAGGATTATTGAAAATTCAAAACAATACATTTCTTAGACATACTATGACGGCTAGAACATTCCGTAGTCAAGGCTCCAATCTATACTAATATATAAAGCTGAAGTGTTTGTTTGTTTGAACGCGCTAATCTCTGGAACTACTGGTGGACATTAAAAAAAATATCTTAAATAAAATATATATAATATATATAAAATATCGCGCTGCGACTAGAAGAGAAGAAGAAGCGGTAAACATTATTCATCTTTGTTGGTTTCCATCGCATACGCTGCGGAAACGGTTCAAGATACCCAAAAAATGTATGAAGGAATATTTCCTAATCTAAAACAATGTCCGCAACACTAGGTATACATTTTAAGATCAACTTGCAAGAACGATGGCGCGCGACCAACGTCGTGGGAGTTTGTTTCAAAAATACATTTTGATGCCCGAATTTTTCGCTGACGAAATCACTGACACAGCTAGTAGACAATTATGACGATATAAAACTAAATTTTAGAATTATGAATGCTACACGAAAAACGTACCTATTATTTTCAATTAAATCCGGAATTTACATAATTACAATAAAGTAATTAAGAACGTTACAATTAAGGAAAATGTTATGCATTCTGCAGATAAAATTAAAAAATTTTTTGTTTGTTTGTTTAAAGGCTCCTGCGCAAATCACAATTCAATGCAAGGCGTTTATCGACTACTACTGATCTAACTGATCGAAATGAATATGAATCTAAAAAACCGTTCTAAAATAAACTTCGAATGTCATAAAATGTTTTACAAGTGCATACTTACTCCGTTCTTAGTGAAATAGGCGGTGACTAGAGGCGTAACGAAACCGGCGGTATTTCCAATTCCGTTCGCGATACCATACAGCGTTCCTGCGAAGTTTGGTGCTAAATCTTGGTGGTTTACAAGGTTCGTGAGAGTTGCTGCACCGTTCGATCCCATGGAGAAAGAGATAAGAGCTATCGATAGAATAGGGGCACAGCCCGTGTAACCCAATGCTATTAGAAGCAGCCCGGGCAGCACATGGGAGAATAGGCAGAAGAACTTCCTCATAAATGTCGTTGACACCATGTTTCGTTTGACGATCCTGGAACGTAGTAAAAATTTGTCAGGCAATGTGTTATTTGGCAGTTTAAATAAAACACTTCAAAATGGTGTAAACCGTTAAATCTAGTAGTTGGGAACTACGGTCTGATGCTTTGCAGCCGTGGTCAAGGGGTGCCTATGGCTGTTAAAATTGGTCACATCACATAACATACACATTTAACATTTAATTTAAATGTGTACTACTGGTGTAAACTATAGACGATACTTTGGGAAGTGTTTAAGACAAGTAATAGGTAAGTTGGGCAAACTTTTAGTAAACACAATATGAGTAAGCTGCTAATTTTGCAATACTTTTAACTGTGTGTATTTCGTTAGTTGCCAAGTTACTTATAAGTATTTTTTAAGGTAATAATCAAACTTCGAGTCAGTACAGTACCTGTCTCCGATAGCGCCGAATATAAGGGAGAAAATCATCCTAGCTAGATACGGTAAGGAAGACAACGTTCCAGTCGAGGTGAGATTGAAGCCAAGCGCGCTGGACACGTATTTAGGAGCCGCTGTCATCACGAAGTACATGCCCCAGTTGTTACCGTAGTGCAAAACGATCATAGCAAGAAACGGAAGAGACGTGAAGATTTTCTTGAATGGTGGAACAATCTGTGAGGGAATGTGACGGGATGACGGTTATAAGGTGCACCTTAAATCAATGAAGACTTATTGAAATACGAATTTCGATATTCCTAGCACCCATTTAATATTCAAATTTCCAGACGAAGTCCAACATGTTTCAGAAAAAAACACATTAAAATCTAAAACAAACCTTAGTTTCACCTGCACTGTGAACTTTATCTCCAATGGCTTCGAGGATGTAAGCCTTTTCCTTTTCACATATCCTGGGGTGTAGAACAGGAGAGTCGTATACTAGGAACCACCAGATTATGCACCATAGGCCCGAGATTATACCTGTAAGAAAACTTAATTATAATTAACTTAATTAAATTTCTATTATCTGACATTTTTTTTCATTGAAATCATATGTTTTTAAAAAAAGTTTAATAGCTAAGTAGTAACTTTTTTTACAAAATTCACGAACACGTAATCTAATTAGGTCTAGAAGCACAATAATATAAACATATAATTTAAATATACCTAAAATACTTTAACGGTTTAAAACGCGATATATTTTAGTTTGATATAACTTGTTTGAAATTTATTTTGAAACTACGGCCCGACGTTTCGGATGCTTTGCAGCAGCCGTGGTCACGGGGAGACTAAAGATGGAGGATGTCTCCGTCATCAAAGTAAAAACAAGACCTACTAACCTAGACCTCAGTCCTAGTAAACATATCACGTCATCGTAAAAGTTAGAAATCAAAATACGTGTCGACATTTACATAAGGAGACATACGTAATGTTCCTTTATCTTAATAATATACAAGATAGATTCGCTTTTACATGTTAAAATATATTAACTCATTTTTTATGTTTTGAATGCTTTGCAGCAGCCATGGTCACGGGAGAATAGCAGGGCGTCCCTAATGTCAGAGTCAACAGATGGCGCTAGTGTTAAAAATTGTCTTAGCTTGAGACCGTTAAGTGTTTTATTTAAAGAGGTACCTCTCGCGTTAATTATTTTTTATTTGTTTCCGAATAGCAGAAAACTATAAAAAAATACTGAAAATAAAATTTAGTTATCATAGAAAAGTTTCGTTAGTTTGGTACCGATTATTACTGTTTTATAAAACGATACAATCCTCACGTTCGTTACTTAGAAACTATTATATATATATATTATATTTAAACAGTTTCATATCAATATTGTTGAACATATAGCGCCTTGAAAGCCAAAGTTCGTATCCAACAAAGCTGATACCAATCAAGTGAAACGAATTGATTTGTTTCAAGATACGTAATTGCGTAATAAACATTTCCAACGTTGAATGGATTGGTTATGAATTTTGAACCTATTCCATAATTATTATAGAAACGGTTATATTGAAGATATGACAAAAATCACGTAAATATTACATAAGCCTAGAACTCGGTCATCTTTATACATCATGTAATATCGAAGTTAGATCTGAAAAAGTTAATTTTCATTTATCATATAATATTCTTTGTTATACACAACCACATTTATGCCAATATCTTTTAAGTTCCATTTGCGTAGATGGACACAGAGAAAACAATAAAAAATAAAGATTCATTAAGTACTGTCTCTAAGAAAGTAGTAGGTACACATATAAATAAAACACTTTAAACTGTAACGCGAGATGTATTAGTTGACTTATTTTTAACGTGACCCTTGTGACCACAGCTGTTGCACAACATCCAAAACATCAGGTAGTTACAATAATTAAAAACAATTAAATATATTTCACGTTCTAAACTGTTAAATGTGTTGTACTAACGTGTTTTTCTCAGCCTCTGTATGCTCTGTATAGGACTAAACGATAAAAGTTTTACCAGGTACGTAGAACGCGTAATCCCATCCAAATGTCTCAATCAGAGGTCCAGTTAGTGACCAAGTGACCACGGTACCGATTGCTCCTCCCAGTAGGGCGCTGACGAATCTTCCCTTTTCAGTAGGAGGCGCCCAATGAGCCACTAAGGCGTGTAACGCTGGGAACAGGAAACCCTGAAAGATACACAGTTGCTAATTCTAAAGACATTTTGACTATGTTATTTTAAGATAGATGACAGACAAGCACAGGGTTCGGGATGGAAGATGAAATAAGCCAGCCATACGACGTGTAACACGATATGTTGTCGACCTATTTAGTATTTGGATATTCAGAAACGTGATTAAACTTCTGACATTTGTGGATGGTAGTTTATGACGGAATTTTCGATATTTTACCACACAGTTAACATCCAGATTTCCAGACGGAGTCCAACGTGTTTAAGAAAAATTAAAAATTCGTCACGTTACGAGCCTCATCGATGAGCCATCATCAAAATATAATATGTATTGTTTTTTCTGCTTTTTATATTTTTAAGCGCGTAATTTTGGATTGAGCTTCTAATATACAAAACTACAGTTGTACCCACGAAATTGATAAAAGTTAAACATAAATGGGAAGCAGGGTATCTTCATACCAAGTAGAAAAAATCTTCATTCAATTATTATCAAATGTTATAATTTACAGGTACAACTGGATAAATTAAACTGTATTTGTAAAAAAAATTGAAAGTACTTTAACAAGATATTGTTTTTTGTTACAATTTTTATTATATCTGATATGCAAATATATACATATTTAAACTCGTTCAATGTCAAGGTTTCTTAAACAATGGTTTTCAAAGGTAAATAAGTGTATTAAAACTCATTTCGAAGGAAGCCATTTATGAGTGTATTCAGATAAGTAATAATAAATTATTCACTTCTGAGAAATACCGCAAAATATTTCCATATGCATTCATTGTTTGTATCATTTGTGTGAGAAATAGTCACGAAGGGCGATTTCAGTAATTTACATATTTTTTGATTTCAGCTTATTAAAATTATGTAGAAATCTTCTGTAGCTATATTAAACTACCTTACATTTACACTATAGACAGTATTTACCTTACATTATATAAATTAAAAATCTATTTAGACTGAGAAACAATTACGACACGGGGGGAGACTTGAACTGGCATCTACAGCGTTATATTCTTCTCTAACCAATTGAGCTATCGTATCGAACTAGAAAATTCGATTTAAATATTTATTTTATTTATATAATGCTATCATGTGCAATAACGTATATCTAGTTTCCCAACTTTTGTAGTGGTGAATATGTCCCTCAAACTTACAACCATTATTTTTTTAAATTTATTGAGAGGTTTTTGATGAACCAAATTCAAATCGGTCGCAAATATTTTGACCATGTACAACTTTTTCAAGAGAATCAAACCAGTGATTTCTCACGCCTAATGCAGTGGTAGAAATCGCGACTACTAGATACTCAATAAACCAATGCAACGATAGTAAAACAAATACTTACAGATGCAAGCCCCATAAGGAATCTAACAGCGACAAGGACCATGTAATGAAGTCTCGCTGCTTGAGGGCTCAGTATAGTCAGAACGGCGCTAATTAACATGGTCACGAAGACCACTCTCCTGGGACCCCATAACTCAGCAGCAGTTCCACTCACAAGACTAGTGATGGCATACCCCCAAAAATATCCCGACAAAACATAAGCTTGCTCTTGAGTCGTCCAGGCAAATATGGTAACGCCATCTGGCTGAAAACATAATTACCCTTATTTGAAAACAAATTTAAAAAATATTAAATGTCTCTTAAATATGATCTATTTCATTCCTGCGCAATAGAAACTTTTTTATTTAATAAAAAAATTATCAAAACGTTACAAAATAAGACAGAATTTTGTGAGCGTTTATCATAATAATTGCTCGAATTTTCTAAAGATGGTTAGGAAATCAATTGTTATTACTATGTTTATTGTAGACCTAAGATTTGGTTGATAACAACCTGAATTTAATTTCGTAGTTTATTTGCATTGGAGCGTCAACAGTACCTGTCGCAGTTGCTTTGTGACGCTTGCGCTGTCATTATGTAATGAAACGTCGGCGTTTGCGACGGCCTTGCATTCGCTTTCCACCCTGTGAATGACAAAAGAATTGTACGTGTTCAATGTTTAGTACTGGATCTGTACTTATACTCCTGGTCAAGATTGACTCGACGATAGAACACGAGGTCGGATTGGTATTTTGAATCTATACTAATATTACAAAGTTTGTTTGTTCTAACGAGCTAATCTCAGAAACTACAGGGTCTAATTAAAAATATTTAGTGATGGATAGCCCATTTATCGAGGCTGTAAGTAAGGCTAACATCACGCGACCAATAGAAGCAAAGTAACGTTGCGTTGCGTGCACTGCAAAAACTGTTCAACAAACCTAAAAATATGTATAAAAAAGATTAATCTTAGAATCATCCAAGAAAAGGCAGGCAATGGTATATGTCTGTATTAGATTAAATCGCAAGAACCGTTTCTATGGTAATTATACAGTCACATCAGTCGAAATTAATTAATTATTATTATTTTCATGTAAGTTACCAATTAGTTTTTAAAATTGTATCGACATAGTAATATTTATTTTGCAAACAACAAAACAGTTTGTCGGGTCAGCTAGGTTTTTCAATAAATTTTCCATTACCGTAAGTGTATAAGAGGGAGTAGGCATTGTCATCACCCCTGTGCCCGTGGTCTCTGAGACCACGTTAAAACCGTCAGTCGCGGTTGTCATCAGTAATCTAACGGCAATGATCATAAAAGCCGTTGGTGTTAATTGTGATTAACGATAGCAATGTATGGCTGATAATCAAAGGGTTTAATAAAGAAAAGTATATTTACATTTACTTTCTAAGGCCGCGTTTGAATATGTATATCTAGTCTGTTGTGCATATCAGATATAATAAAAATTGTAACAAAAAACAATATCTAGTTAAAGTACTTTCAATTTTTTTTTTTTACAAATAGAGTTTAATTTATCCAATTGTAGTAAGAAATTATAACATTTGATAATAATTGAATGAAGATTTTTTCTACTTTGTATGAAAATACCCTGCTTCCCATTTATGTTTACCAGTTTTCATATCAAAGACGTCAACAAAAGAATGAGATGAAATCAAGAATATCGCCGCCACTCCTGTTTACGACTTCACCAAATTACGCACCATACACATCTATTCCTTGTTCCTCCAAATTGTAATGTGTGTTAAATAAGTAATGAGTTCATTACTTATCTAATGATTTTATACGTTTCTAGTAAATTTTAAATTCCTTAAACGTGAATGTTGAAGAACGTGACTGATTAATATATTTTTATAGTACATAGTCGGTTAAGAACGGTGATTCACATGCTCCGTTATCAGGTAAGTAGTGTCTATGTATAATTATTTAGGGATACGGAATAATGTATTATTTAATGATATGGAAGAGCTGGACACCCTGGCACAGGTATTATTTACTTAAAAGCGTTACCAGATCAAAAACAGACTCATGTATGTTTCTTGAATAAATACTTTTTATTTATTATTTTATGTAGACTTAAATTCATTTAACGTTTCAGACGCTTTGCAGCAGTCGTGATCTCGGCACGGTACGTGTTTTAAACCAGTAAAAGTGTTTTATTTAAATTTGAACTACTTACAGTAGTAAACTACAGACAGTACTTATTTTTACAAAACATATAAGTTTTTTGTTCCATTTGTTGTCCGCTTGTGGCCTATTTTATAATAAATTATATTTCTTAGTAAGATAATTAAGTCCATTTTTCTAAAGCATTAAAGAAACAATTTAAATGTATATTTGAGCACAAACACGAAGCGAAATCGCGTTTCGTGGCATTGATTTCAATTCGATAAATTTAGGTAATAAGGATAATACCGTTATTTAGCCTCCGTGAAATTCTCGCTGCGATAAATCGTGAATTCTTAAGGTCAAACCTCGACCTTGCCTACGCGTCTTTTATCAAAAAACAATACGCTTTTTACTAAGTAATTTACATTGTTTGTAGTTTAGGCGAGAGGTACACATTGAAATGAAACATTTTTAACGGTTTATTACATGATTTTATATATAAAATTGTCCTCTGATGGCCACGGCTACTGAAAACCAACCGATACGTCGCGCGTAGTTAATGTACTTTTACGTATCTTTTGTTTTTTTTTTTTAAATTTCGGAAATAGGAGTCTATCATCCTTCTCACAACAAGTGGCAATTAACACCGATCCACCCACACTAAAGCCTCCTATTACTCCCCGTGGCTCATGGCCTCCCATCCCATAAGGGCCCCGCCCGAGCGGAACCATCTATTGTTTTCAGAGAATTCTAAACTCTCTCTTGCGTTTAACTCAATGCTAGGCAAGAAAAGGATCTTTGCCTACATAGGAACACTATAGGTAAAACGATATATTATTTGGAATTTGATTTCGCATTAAGATAGAAGAACTAAAATAGAATTCTGATATTATCTATGTTAGTCTATAAATATATCTGTTGCCAAAACAACATAATATTGCAATTCATTTTGATCGATTACCGAATTTACATGTAATCTCTAAGCCGAGGTCGAAAGTAGAACACTTGAAGTAGTACTAGATATGATTAACAAGATAGTCTTTAAATATCTGGACATATGAGGTGTCCTGGTGTCTAAAGAAATGTTTGAAACACAGATTGTAAGATTCCTAAAATCAGTGGCGAAACTATAGGGTGGCAAGTTGGCAAAATGCCACGGGCCCCCCACCCGGCAAGGGGCCCCGGGATAGAGGAAATCTCAATTGTTGGTAGTTCTTCTTATTGGGGAAGGGAGGGAATTTGCCACGGGCCTCGAACGGTATAGTTACGCCACTGCCTAAAATTCTTAACTTATTGGGTCCTTTTCGAATTTGAATATATATCCTAAAATTGTACGCTCTAATAAAGTTAAAAAAGTTAAATTCTCTATGATTCCCATTTACTATTTATATTATTATATATAAATGACTTGTAAAACCGTAACATTTTTTTTCCAAAATAGTAAGTTAAAGTTAATAAGATTCTTCAATTAAAAATTATTTTAAATAATTGATCCTTTCGTACTAAATTATTTCATTTTTATAAAGATAGAAACCAACCTGGCTCACAGCGGTTTAATAATCGAACAGATCTAAATTTAAAACTTTTGCATTTTTATTTAAATACGCTGTTATCCCTAAGGTCATTTAGTCTTGTAACATATATACATGGAGATATATCAGGACCATTATCATTTATCAAATTACTATCAAGTGCGGATTTTAAATCGTTACGTCATGTAAACAACTTGTTTAAGCAAGGGTTTTTTTTTATCATATCCTACTGCTTACAGCTCAATGTATCAATAGAATGTGTTTGACATCTTATCGTCATTAGATATCCTTTATCAATATGACGTCATATGAATACTTAAATGCTAAGGGAATATCCCTTAAATAATTTACTATCGAAAGAAGAATTACAAGAAGTATGTCGTAGATCTTTCAAATAAATTCAATTAAAAAAACAGCTTTACTCATAATCTATAATCTATGTTATGTTAACATTACAAAGCTGAAGAGTTTGTTTTGTTCAACCGCTATTCTCAGGAATACTGATTCGAATTGAGAAAATTATTTTGTGTTGTATAGACCATTATGAAGAAAGGCTTCTATAAAAAAATCCGGCTGAAACAGAGGGAAATGTGGTGAAGAAGGCGAAAATTATTTATCTGAGGGCCTTCGATGGTTGCGCTGTGAAAACGGTTCAAGAAGCCAAAAAATATGTATGCAAGAATCATTCTTTTTTAAACGATCTCAAAATACTCCGCGACCCTAATATCTACTTAGATTAACTTGCAAGAACGACGAACGCGACCGAAGTCGTGGTAACATAACAAATCGGAGGTTTACAAAAAGGAATATTGATGGCCAAAAGAACAATTCTACGCGGCAGAAGTCGCTGGTACAGGTAGTATTTAATAATCTATTTAGAACATGGTTCTACTATATAATTTAAAATCGAAAATAAATTGAAAAAATTTTCGACTCGGGCAGGACTAAGCATCGTCACTTTCCGTCTGTTACCCTGGTGCCCTACCAAATTGAGCTACCGAGTCCTAAAATCGAAATTTTTTTCAATTTATATTATATAGTTTTTAAATTATTAGTTCCTTCAGGCAATAACATGTGAAAATATTAATGTTTTCAAACATGGTTCTACTGTCTATGTAATAATTAAATCACACAGACTGAATGGATTCGAATCCAGGGGAGGCATAATCATAGGTTTGTTTTTAGATACGTCTGATCAACTACTTAAATGTAAAAAAATACTAAACTATAAAAATAATCTACCTACCTTACGGAAACAGTATTGCGTTATGACATAGATAGTGTTATACATTATCTATGTCATATATACATTGTAGTTAATAGACATAGTTATTAGTAAACTGATTAAGCAAAACACTTAGACGAATAATTGCAAAGTTCGACATCAAATTATAAATATGTGTCTTTCGGAGGCTTCGCTTACGCATCTTAGCCTTGATTATAAATTAACCCAGTGCGATGTTAGTTTTATAATTGGTTTCAATATTAATGATATTTTAATAGCTCGACTTGCCTTCGGACTTGGCGATTTTCTTAGGATCCGATTTTCCCTATGAGTTATATTTATTAACTACTGTTCAGTGTTGAATTATCAAATAATATATTGTTAAAGTATAGCTACTAAGTTACAATTAGAAGCAATTCGTGAATTTATATCATCTTTGAATCTTAATTTACGCAAATCCTTTTGTGATAAAGAAACCATCTATTTAGGTTTAAAAAAAATACGGCTAAATTATAACTACGGCCCGATATTTCGAATGCTTCGCACGGGGAGACCTCGTGATCGGCAACTTTCTAATTGACTGCGTTTAACTAATATATATCGCGTTTTAAACTGTTAAAATGTTTTATTTAAATGTGTGCTACTCGCGTAAACTACAGACAGTATTTAACTGATACATCGTTATAATGTCGTCGGGTTATAGTTTTGTAAATTCGAAACGAGTTGTTTAGCTTAAGTAGGTACAGAGCGTATTGACACAGTCTTTCGGCGCCAAATAATACTGTATTAAATTTTAGATTCTAGGACGTGTTGGTTTCGTCACGATGTTTTGTCGATTTGGAAATTTTGCAATGATTGATAGACCGTGCGTCTCGTAATTGTTTGGAAACATTAAGATTCCACCTGACAACTCACGGTCCCTGTTTCCGACAGTAATACTTTTGTGTCTGATTCAGCAATCTTTATTTGCAGGTTAGTAGTTGGTAAAACTTGTAAAAATATTTTAATATTGTCTGAATGGTTTGAAACCCGGCCTTATAAAATGATTTTGAGTATTGGCTGTCTAAACAAGTAGTACATGTAAAATAAAACACTTCTTACGGGTTAAATTACTTCTATGTCTTCTTTCGTAATGTAGTTAAGTATAACCGAATTAAAAAATATTAATATTTAGGTTTAAACCGTTAACGTTTTAAACCGTTGTAAATGTTTTATTTTATTAAAAATGTTATTAATAATTTAATTATTATGTACAAAATGTTATATGTCGAATGTTCCATTGTTAAATACTGTCTATAGTTTACGCGAGTAGTACACATTTAAATAAAACACTAACGGTTTAAAACGCGATATATTAGTTACATAATAGTTAGATAACTAATATATCGCGTTTTAAACCGTTAAAGTGTTTTATTTAAATACTTTTTTACTTTTAACAAATTGATAGACATGCCAAACAAAATCAAACCGGTATTGTTAGTGTTATCCATACCATTTATAAATTTTGGTTTAAATAAATTATAGATTTTAATAATATAATAAATGCGAAAGTAACTCTGTCTATCTGTCTGGCTTTAACTCCGAAACTGCTGAACTGATTTAAATTCAGGTTAAAAATTTGGTACACAGATATTTTAGAGCCTTTTCGGCATTAAAAAGTAGCATAATATGTCCTTACATATTATGCTACTTTTTAATGCCAAAAAAGGGTTGATAGGGGTTGAAAAAGGGGATGAAAATTTGTATCGAAACGTCCGACCGAAGTTAAAAATCATCTTCAAATAAATTTAACTCATATATCGCGTTTTAAACCGTTAAAGTGTTTTATTTAAATGTTCCATTGTTGTTAACCAATTTAATACTAAGGCTGAAACAATAGAAACTAATTTTATTTACATAATATATATGTTAAAAATGCGATTGTATAGTCCGAGCTTTCTAGTTAAGTCATCAGTTAGGCCGTTGGAATATGGTCTTATAATTTCCAACTTATCTATATTTTCAACAATAGTCTAAAAAGAGAAAACTTGTTTTTAGACTAATGTTGAAAATATGTATGATTTTAAACATATGTTTGGTATCTTGAACCGTTCTCGCAGCGCACGTAACGAAAACCCACAAAGTACTTAGATAATTTTCCCGTTTTATTTTTCTCATTTTCAAGAGTTTCTTCGCTATTTCGTATTGATCACAACCTTATATTTTATAGCCTCAAGCTCTAACCGACACAAAAATAAGTATTCAATTCGAACCAGTAGTTCCTAAGATTAGCGCGTTCAAACAAAGAAACCCTTTATAATTTGTTTCTATCGATTAAACGATATTTCAATAACTATGTTAAGTACTAACGTGTTTGACGTCTTGTCCTCAGGCACCATGGCTATGATATTGACGCTCATGTTTACCCTTAGCATGTAATTAATCCAACAGGCAAAAAACAACATGATCGCCACATTGAGCCGCGCCGGGATGGCATCTGGAAAGAGAGGCAACATTAATCCATTATCTTTACTGAAAATCAGTGTGCTATCAGTGTCACTATGCTGCAACTTGCTGACGAAAATAAAAATCTTTATAGATTACAAGAAAATATCAACCCGGTAGCTCAATTGGTTAGTAGCAGTGCGTAAGTGGAAGCCAGTTCAAGTCCCTTCCGTGTCAAATTTTCAATCTATCTTTTAAAATTATATAATGTCATCGCGACAACATGAATAATATTAAGGTCTTCAACCTTTTTAAGTGTTTAACTATGACATGCATGACACCACACCTGTATTTTCTCTAGAATGAAGAGATAACTATACTAAATTTAACTATATATTAAAATTAAAAGATTGCCAGAATGAAGCCATAGCGCGTTACATAACGTATACGTTTCTTCTCTCATAAATAGTACATAAGCCGAATAAAAAATGCAAGCTTCAAAAGAGCACGGATGGCTGTGGAATATCGATCACTTACGAATGATTTTTAACGATCACTTAACCATTTTATGGGGCTGTAATTGTAATCAAAACGAATAATATTTAAAATAATTGCTTGCTTATCCTTTGGAGCCGAATTGCGATTAGCAAACATTAAACATGTGGAACACATAACACACTTATAACGCGGAAATGTTTCTAAGAGCGGCCTGTCAGCTCGCATTGGAGTCAAGTGCGTGACCTCGCAAAAACCTGAAAGCGCTTGCGGAAGATTGCTTTCAAAAACAATGTCAATAGCAAACGGACATCTGGACGTCTCAGCCGATGTCCATAAAAGTGCAAACGATATTCTTGTTCAGGGATAAATGGCGCGAAATCGTGATGCAGATAGATCCATTTAAATTAACGGTTTTAAACGGAAAATAGTTTAGTTGACTTATTTACTTAGAATAGTTATTTTGGACATCAAATTTGTTTATGCAAAGCTGTTACCCACGACGTCGTCAAGTCCCGTCGTTCTTGCAAGTTAATCTTGAAAGATAGACATATACTGTCGCGAACATTTTTTAGATTGTTGCAAGAGAATGATTTCTTTCATACATTTTTTTGGGTATCTTGAACGGTTTTCGCAGCGTACGCAACGAAAACCTACAAGAATTAATCATTTTTCCCGTTTTATTATTTATTATCAGTCGCTGCGCAATGTTTTATTATCTAAAGCCTTCCCCGATTAATGTTCTAACCAACACACAAATTTAATTATTTCAATTGGAACCAGTAGTTAATAAGATTATCGCGATCAAACAAACAAACTCTTTGGCTTTATTTACTAGAATAGTTTCGAATGATTTGCAACAGCCATGTCCCTCCGTGACCACTAACCACGTAAAATAAATTGTTTTGTTAAAACACATCTTTAAATACAATTTTTACAAATTGATGTGGAATGAAGTAGAGTAAATTAAAACAATACCAATTGAAGAATGTTATGTGTATTTGAAATTCACAGATATTTAATTATATATTATACGAGTTATTAAGTTTATTATCAATATTACGTAAGTTTATTACTATAATAATTGCAACAGTTGTCTAAGGTCAATGTTACTAATAGTACCTTACGGCTACTTAAAAACCAATGTTGCCAGTACTGAGCGTCTTAGTAAATGACGAAGCGAAAGCGGTCTATCAAGAAATATAATCTTGCAATCAATTTATGATTGATCTAGTTCAGGTATCAAAAATAATCAATTTAAGTCGCCAAAAATACTTTCTCCACAGTACAAAGTAGGATTGCTTCTTAGTTCTTTTATTAATTCTCTCTTCTTGAATAAATATTTATTTAACTTTATCTATACTAATATATAAAGCTGAAGAGTTTGTTTGTTTATTTGATAGAACTCGCTAATCTTAGGAACTACGGGTTCGAATTGAAGAAATATTTTTGTGTGGGTTAGAGCATATCGAGGCAAGCTATAGGCTGTAAAACATGACACAGGGTCATGTAACCGATCAATAAAAGCGAAGATAATAATTCCTCTTTAAATGACCTAAAAAAAGTCCGCGACGCTCTATGTCTTATTATTAACTATATCTTTTATGATTAACTTGCACGCGACCAACGTCGTGGGTAACAGCTTAAGTTTATAAAGATGCAAAAACGAATTTGGATGCAAAATTAAATATTCTTAGCGGACGAAGTCGCTGGTACAGCTAAACCAATGATATACAGAAGCAATAAGTACACAAAAACAAAGTAATCTGTTAGTTATACTAACTAAAATATTATCTAGAACTTTGCTTCGTTCATCGGAATGATGGTACCATTTGAAATGCGGGCCAGGGTCGCGAAAAAACCACAATCTTTAGCAATCATGAGTTGAATAGAACTAGAATATTCATAGAAATATTCTCCATTATTCCATAAATGAGAATGAGATCGATCCATGCTAATGGCTTATAAAAACGGCAATACTGTTACCATTACTTTTAATTGCCTTTATTACGTTTGACGGGCTAATGATCACCGGGTCGTGGGTTTGATCCGTATCGGGTCCAACATTTTATAATTTTTCAATTTATAATTGTGTGTGAAATAGTTATTTCGGCTTCAAAATTTGTTTGATCAAAATGTTAGCCTTCCTAATTCAAATCAGCAGTTCCTGATATTACCGCGTAATGTAAGTACCGAGTACATTACGCGGTAATATCAGGTGAGTGTATTTGTATATTACACTCGTAAAACGTCAATCATTCAAACAAACGAAAAAATGTCTTATGTAATTTTTTATATTAATATAATAATATTTGTATACTCATATAAAATATACACTAAGACTTTTTCTTTTTTTATTTTCCTATTCGTTCCAGCTGATTTCAGATCGATTTTAAATTATGCGTTTTGATGGCGGGTTGCTAAGTCTGTATGTATTTAAGAAAATGTGTAATATACAAATACAAGTAATCAATAACATAAATGTTTTTTAACTACGTCCCGACGTTTCGAATGCTTTACACTAGCTTTGGGCACGGACGCGGGAGACCCTGGTAAATTATAAATTGTAAATAAGTTAACTTAAACCTTCCACGTTTTTAACCGTTATAACGTGCTTATTTAAATAATTCTAAAATTACGTGTGAAGGAGTTAAAAAACATTATTAAGAAGACATTCTGGTTACTAGGTGCGTAAAATCTATTTCTAGCCGCGCATCTTAGACTGGTTTGGAATGCAGCTCAAAGCAGACAAAAAAAACTACATTCTAGTAATAAGACATTCCTTAAGTAACGAAATGTTAACGATGTGTTCGTGGCTCATGCGCTCATGTGTTCGCGTCGTATTTAATTTAAGATTCTTTTTGTTTAATCTCAGTCTTTTGTTAGAGTTATCCGCCAAAGAAACGTTTTATATAGTAGTATAGACCGACAGAATTTAAAAAGTAGTATTTTGGTTAGTTGTTATTATACGTATTGCATTTATTTACATCGAAATTCGGTTATTACATCAATTCTATTTCAATTCGTTCTCGTATCAAATGACTTGCATTGATATAATGGATAAACTTGACACGTGAGATAAATGTGTTGATACTTTTTCCGTGTTAGTTATTCTGTTTACGTTTCCCAATTTACCATGTTAAACGGGGGGAGAAATTTGACTAACTACCTTACATTAGTAATATTTTTTAATAAAAAAATTACTAATCACTTAACATATATAAAAATTAAAAATACGTCGTATTTTGCCTATGTAAGTCATAGTGCCTTGACGTCTCCGCTTTTTTTATAATGTGTAACTATAGTAACTTATTTTTTAGATCACTATAAATTATTATTATTAGTATATTACTACAAGTGTACCCATAAATGTCTGAATTAAAAGGTTTTATTATAATGATGGTTTGCATAATATGTAAGTGTCTTTCAAAAACGTCTTCACTTGACCCTGCCGATGGAACTTGAAGAATTTCTATGCTCACGCCTCGCGTACAATTAAAAATACATTCTTGAACATTTTCTCCTCACTTGCTATAGACGCAATCATCTATGCGTATTACCAACAGCCGCCGTGAAAGTGTAGAAATGTAAGTAGCAATTAAATAATACTTAGCAACGAGGTGCAAAATGACGCGAGAGGCGACACAGGCGGTCCCAACGTCGCGTCGATCCGTCGCCGGCTTAGGCTGAAGTTTCCTATTAACGCAGATTGCCACTTATAGCTTGTATATGTTGTACCATAAGGCTGGTCCAATGGTCCAATGTGTTTTGGGGGGTTCATTCCTACCAGGAATTTATCCAACAATTGGAATTAAAAACTTGCCCCAGTCGCAAAGAACAGATAAAAAACCGTAATTCGTGTTTCGTGTTTCGGTATCTGAATTTCCAAAAGTAACATAGATCTACAGCACATCCTAATATAATGTTATATGGGGCTTTTCACTTTTGTACCGCGAATGTACTTCTTGCTTGTTTTAACTGTTCTATTATAAAAAAAACGCATTATTCCTTTAAGTATATCTAATGCGCGAAAACGATACTCAGCTTACTGAACACATACTGAAAAGAAGACTCAGCTATACTGAATATACTGAACGAGTCTTACAGTCTCATGTTAGCGTGCGAAAGAGACAACAGCAATTCATTTTATAATAGCGAGTTATGGATCGCAACCTATAGCGTTTATATAAGACGGTGGCTTTATAGCGAATCGGCTTCCCGTACAAACATTATTACTGCTTGACAGATATCGAACACACACAGCTTTCAAGGAACTAATTAAGCAGCTAACGGTAAGCCCTACATACCTGTGCACAAAAATATTTGTCAGTGTTCAAAAATGTTCACGCGACATTTGTACACGTTAGGCTGCTACATCGTGACAGGACAAGATGAATTCATACACCGCATAATATTATATACGGCCTTTGTAAATAATTGATAACCTGACATCGTACAAATTAAAAAAAAACTATTTTTAATATAAGATACGCCCTACTGTATAATACACACATATACTAAGAGTATAAAGCTGAAGAGTTTGTTAAGAATAAGAGCGATGAAACACTGGGAAATGTGGCAAAAACTGTGGAGAAAATTCATCTTTGTGGGTTACCGCTGCGTGCGCTATGAAAATGATGCGGAGGTTTTCAAACAAAAATGTAGATGCGCAAAATAACTAATATTCGCGAACGAAGTCGCTGGCGCAGCTACATACGTAATCTCTAGTACATACTCATATTACATGTAAAATATATTCAGCGAAATAAAACCGAATACATAATACAGAAAACAAAGAATTTTATAAAATAATACAACTGGAATTCTAAAGAAATGACAATTTTATGATAAAACAGATGGATCTATCGCATTTCAATTCGATAATGGTCTAATTATTGTAATGTAAAAATGCGACGAGTTTTGAATGCCACTAGAACAATACTTATTATGTAATAGAATATTCTAGACGGCAATTTTGTGCTAAATTTGGTCGGGGCCTTAAACGGGTTTATGCTACTATCACCTAATTAATATCCGGGTTTGCTCAACGGGCTACGCTAAGTTACACTTGAATTGGGTGGTAGGAATAGCGAAATACTGTCCGGGTCACACAATACCGTCGAAAGATTATAACCGTAAAGAGTAAAACAGATGTCGATTTCCGAATATCCAAAGCCAAAATAGTTAGTTCTCCCGTGACTTGCCAAAAAGTATATTTGTCTTATACGAGAGTATGAGTTGTAAAAATGGCTGACTATATTTGCGTATACCTATAAACCCGTTTTGTGATGCAATAAATTAGATTATTATTATTATCTATCGGGTAGGTACAGCACACGGACGCCGGGGAAACTGTCAACGAAAAAATTAAGACACTCTCATTCTCCCTCTGCTCTACTTCATTTTTCTATTAATATAACGTTTTAAGGTACCTTCATTGTTATATAGTTCACGTTCGTATGTAACACGGATGAATTGCGTATTTGTACAATACACTTTTATCAGTACGATTTTGCACGGTCGGATGTATAACAATAATATTGATCCATAATGCCACATCCACTATTTCATTACAATGCATTAGTACAAGCAACCAACAATATATATGTAATAAGTTTTTTTTTTTATATTAAGAATGGGATAATAAACCTCTATAGTATGAACAGTAGAAAAATTAACGTCAAATTGCAAAAAATATACGCAATATATGTTTTTAATAAAACACTGTAACTGTTTAAAATGCGAAATATATTAGTTAAACTTATTTACAGATTATTTTTAAATGCGTGGTCGTGTTTTAAACCGTTAAAGTGTTTTATTTAAACGCGTAAACTACACACAGTTTTTTTTTACAATGTAAGCTGCTGCTCTGCCATTTTACAAAACAATAATATTTGCTAGGTATGTACGAATATAAAAAGTATAATAATTTTAAGTTATTCAATGTGAGTACTTTTTAACAATATACCAATCTAGAACTAGGTATATTGAAAATTAAAACATGTCCTACACTATTAAAGCTGATATTTTGAAAAACCCCATAACCTCTATTTAAGAATAAGTAGCAAGTGCTTAGGATTTTAGTATTACCGAATAAAACGTGAATATTGATTGACACAGCTAAGTGTTTCTTCGATAACATTCAAGTTTGACTTTATCAATATAGATCATAATATAAAAAGATCAAGTACAAAAGTAATGCGATGCGTCAGCAGTTTTTATTTCCAAGTCAAATAATAAAATTATTTCCGAAAAATACACACTACACATCCTTCATTCAGACGTCTACTTCGAAACCGGCAAACGTGAAAAAGTATGGCACAAACGTTTAGAAGAAAAACAGAACAATCAATACATATAGAAAAGCATCCACCTTAGTATAGACGCGTTTTACATAAATCATATTTGTATATACAATTTGTATATTTCAGGCATACACAAAGAATCTTAGCATAATCAAACTATGCAATGTATTGTTTATTAAGTAATAATATTATTGAAATCTTCCAAATACAGATAACATATATGAAAATGAATTATAAAAAATCAGTAGAATAAAAATAAAAAGATGGTAGGTATATGTTTACCACATAACTAAACTTACTAATTTAAGTTTAATTATTATTAACAATTTTAACAGTCTCATTAGATTTAATTTAATTTTATTAATATTCAAATTGAATGTTTATTCGCAAAACATAACTCTTCTTCCGCAGCTGAGTAAAACTCTATGGTAAATACAATCTGTGGTAACTATTGTCCTTGGCTTAGCTATTAATACCGGTTTACTATTATCCGATATAACACATTAGTTTCGGATCATTGTTACGAAAAGCAAAACAAATAGACAACATTTTTATTTTATATGAAGAGGATCAGGAAGTAATTTAAAGCAAATTACTTTATCTAAAGTCCCTGGTGTTGTTTATATAAAATTATTTATTTAATTACGATGGAACTAAGTAAGAAACAATTATTATCATTCACGCTACTGCGAGACGTACCTGTCTAAGCTAGTTGCGTTTTTTTATCATTTTTTGATTGAACATTGACTTTTAATAGCATTGATTTGTTAATTATATCAACATTCAAATTATATTTAATAGGAAAATGATGACGTAAAAATAATTCTTAAAAATAACAATTCATTTCTTTAGTTATAACTCAACATCACTAAAATACAAACATAAAAAGTTAATGTAAGACGTGCTACCTTGTATTTACTAGTTATCTAGAATAAATAAATTTCTCTACTCAAATATTTACCTGGAATTGTCATATTTTTAACTATTTTTTTTAGATTTACTCCTACTAACATAAAAATACTCACCGAAAAATTTAAAATGTATCTTCATGATTGCAAGTAAGAATACTATGGTTAGCACAGAAATTCGCACGCAAAAAGAAATAGTCAGGCTTGGCTGCGCGAGCGCATTCGAGATCGCGAGATGCGGGCGCGCTTGCCTTGCGACGACTGCCTCTGCCGTGACCCACGAAGCCTCGCGACCGCTCAACCGTCAACATTTGCCCTCTCGTACAAAACCTGTCAATGATCTATGGCGATATTGAAACTTATATCAGGCACGTTTTTAATGTTTAAGGTTTAATCAGGTGTCGGCTATGCTACAAAATCAAGCTTAGTACAGAAATTGTATTTGGAATAACATATTCTATATTACTACATAGTATAAAATAAATTCATTTTTTCTGTCCCTATCTAACGTATAAACCTTTAAAACTACACGTTTGTGCGATTTTTGTAACAGTAGGTGTTCAAGAGGACGGTTTTATATACAACGTACACAGTTTTTCTGTAGTGTATTTAGAATCAGCATTGCACCTGAGAGAAGCCGGGGCGGGTCGCTGGTTCATAATATAAGGATAAAAAGTTTTGGTTGAATGCGATAATCCCAAAAACTACAAGACCAATTTGAATATCACTTTTTGTATCGTCCATTAATTACGTTAATAAATTGTATAATACAGGAATTATGTAAGACGGAAAATTATCTTTAATTCATAAAGTACAATTACAGTGAATTATACCAGGCGTGGGTACTTAGCATTGTGCGCTGTAATTGTTACAGAATTGCTCTATCACATTGTTACGCGTATATGTGCATTTAGTACCGAGTAGTTTCATCAGTGTTTTGCATCTGTGCAATCAAGTAGTGTGCAGTGTGTGGAATCCCGTTTTCCCCTAGTGGGGCAGGGAGCGAACATATTGTAGTGTCTGTTTTTATTTACAGATAAGTAGTTTGCTAGCTAACACGTTTAACCATTTAGCTACAGAGGCGGTCTAATCAATATTTTTACTCTATTAATAAATTCAATAATATCGAAGGTCTTTCCGCGTAGATTGAACATAAGCCTTCAAAATTATGGATACGAACAAGAACAAATTGGAATATCCAAAGCCAAAATAGTTCGACAAAACATCTTGTTGAGATACTTCTAAGATGTATTTCACCTATCATCAAGTGAAAGAACAGTTCAGTTTAGACGTTAAAAATCCTTTCTTCTTTTTTCTATGGTTATCTCTTTTCGAAGATGAGGTTAGACAACCCCGGGGGTCCTGGTGCGCTGCACCACCTGGTCCTACGATAATTACGCCACCGTGTGACTTACGTAGTTATTATAATATCCACCTGATGATGAACAGCTCCATGTGTTGATCCTCATATGATGATGGTACCTTAGTTTTTTCTATTTCTGTATAGTTTTTTAGTTATAAATAATATCCCTTATAAAAAGTGTAACAGTGTAGACAGTAATGTACATTTTTTCACAACTATTTTGCTCTTACAACCAACCAATTAATGAACAGAAACAAGTTTTAAGAAATTAGTATAGTTGAAACGCGAGTTGTTTTTGTAATTATAACTGTTTAAAATTTATGCGAGTAGGTAATACACATATAAATAAAACGTTTCTTAACAGTTTAGAAAGCGAAATATAAAATTAATTAATTTTAACAACGTATTCGAAACGTTTCGGATACTTTCAGTCGGAAAACATTCAGAAAGGAAAAATAAAACAAATTTATAACCACTGATTTTTAATCAGCAAAATTAAGAAAAAAAAACACATATTACATAGTATTTAAATGTATAACATTTTTATAGCATTACAAACTATTTATTACTTTTAAATCGGTTTAATAGGAAACAAAGTCTACTTCTAGTCTTCTATAAGTAATATATTTAGCCTTTCCTAAAATATAAGAAGCACTAACAAAAGAAAAGGACATCAATATGTAAGTTGTTCCTTCCTAAAAATATCGGTTTTTGTACAACCGCTTTACAGGTTTTAATAGCTAGAAGGAACTACTATAAAACTGGAGTTGGCTTAGCCAGTTATGGATCACAAAGACGGTAAGGTGGGTTAATTAAGACGCGACTAGTAACTACATACAGTACATAATAATTACTCAGTCAACAAACCTCACACCCAAACTAAAAAAAAATGCATTTTATATTTGAATATACTAATATTATAAAGCTGAAGAGTTTTTTAAGAGAACAGTGAAAATGTGAAAGAAACAAGGAAAATTATTAATATTTGAGGGCTCAAGATAACAAAACATATTATGTATGAAAAGAATATTTATGAAAAAGAATATCCTTTTCAATTCGCAAACCTTTTTTATGGTAATCATATTTGTTCGAAATTATAGCATTATTATTAAATATTTTATTTGTTAGAGTCGTATCATCAGAATCATATTTATCTTGCAAACAACAAAACATCGTTTGGCGCAACAGCTAGTAACTAATACATAATTATAAACTGATAGTTAAACTCACTATTTATTTACACAGGACACAGAACTTATTGTCTATTTCAGTGGTAAATTTAATTTACAGCCGAGTAATTGACAGTCTACCTATTTTGCCTGGATTCTAACCCACAAGCCACAGGACAGGACCACAAGCGCTTAGGCAATCCTGTATAACGTAGATCAAAAAAGAACTTGTCGCAAAGTAATCTCATATGCATACATTTGCTGACAAAAAACTGAAAGAATTTTCGAACTTAGTTTCAAACATAATTATTGTACCTATATAACCATTACCTAACTAAAATAAGACTCTTTGCAGTTTTCGCACCGACCAATCTTGCATATTGCAATACCTCCTCCGTTTCATCACCTCGTCCCTTCCTTCTGTAAGTTTTATATGGCACCACTTGACTCTTATTCAACACTGGTATAAAATTAATATCGTAATCACTAGGGTAGTTTTCATCAACACTATCTAGATCGGGGTCCAGTCTCGAGTACGGTGATAATTCCAACTTTGGTAAGCATTCCTTCAGAGGGAACCATTTGAAGGTCTCGGGGCAAAGCAAGTCCGATGGGTTGTAGTTGCCCTTGTACCTCATCTTCCGGCAGGAGTGTATGTAGAAGCCCATGTAATAGTATTTCAGTTCGGGACACATTGTATGAAGATGTCTTGTAAATTCTATTTCTCTAAAATTGTAAGTATTTAATTAGTATTTTTTTTACATGTTATTACACATGAAGGCACTATATAATTTAAAAATCGAAAATAAATAAATACGATGAGGTGTAGGATTCGGTGGCTCAATTGGTAGAGCAACACCACGGAACGCTGATGATGCCGGTTCAAGTTCCAGCCCGAGTCGAAAATTTTTAAAAATTTATTTTCAATTTTCGATTTTCAAAATTAGTATTTAATTAGATTAAAATTTTATATATATATTTTTTTTTGCTTTTTGCCTTTAACTCTAACAAAAAAATAAACTGCCTGACTGAAAAATGTCTGATACATTTTATAAGAATCCTATAATTTCATCACAGCAGTTGGTTTTATTAATTAGATTATAAATTTGGTTTTGAATCTGATGTTCTGGAAAACTGAACGTGAATATCCGTAGTAGAATAGAATAAAGGCGAAAGAGTCGAGAGCGCATCATGAAGATGTTTTTTGGCTGGGGTATTTCATCTTCCATCCAATCACCCTAATTCTTGTCTGTCCCTCCCCATTCAAAAAAAATTAATATACTAGATCAAAAAATATTATATTGGCTAGCAGAGAATATTCTCTGTGGATGATATATTTCAGACATTTATAATCATATTACCTCAACGCTCCATATGTCCCCATTGTTAGATTCATATATTGTGGATCGTAAAAGAAATAAACAGATGAAACACATTTTGGTAATATATCAATAACGCCAACAGCAATTATTTTACCATCCAGCTTGTATTGTTGGTGAAATGAACCATAGCCACACTGTGGTCCTATTTCAGAATATTCCTCCTAAAAAAATTTTATTCTCTTCATAAATTGTGGCAAGCAAGAAAACTACATATTTAGTATTTAGATAAGTACGGAAGAAACTGTGCCAAAAAAATTGCAACAACATGAATTACCGATAGAGGACTTTGAACTAGAAAGTCACTAAATTTTGGCTCCGAACATTTATCAGCTGTGTCCCCGTGCACTGTCATTTGATACTTGACATAAACAGCATGAGTTTCTTTCGCTGAAGCTAACCACTCTGGACTCGGAGGTGAAGTTCTAACTAGTTTTATCTGTAAAATGAGACAATATTCAAATATTAGTGAGAAATAAAAAGTCTTTTATAATAATTGACAAGATATATCAGTATAGCAAATTTTCATTCATGAGAAATCATATAACCATACCTCTAATTTATGCTTAACCTCATCAGGAAGATCTCTAATAAAGTCTTCCAACTGTTTTTCCTTATTAGTTTTCATTACGTTTGTGACATCTTTACCTTGGGCTTTCAGTTTTTCTATTTTACGTTCAATCCTCATCTGTTTAGCCTTTTTGCAAGGTGGTTTAGATGGATCAGGCCCCTTATCTTAAAAAAAATATTACAAATTCAGGTAAAACATTGTTAAATATACAGTTAAGAACTTATAAACTATAAAATGTATAGGATTAATAATACATCAATTTGTTCACCTTATCTCACTTGCTCACATAAAAAATTATACAATTTAAATATTGTCAAACTGGCTACAGCAAAGCACCCAAAGAATGGATTCAAAGTAGTGGTTTTATTTTAATTGAATGGTTTAAAACCATACATTTCAGGGCACGCCTGGGACTTTATTAGTTTTACAAATAGAATAGGCTTTATCCAACAATATCATGGTTTTTAAAACTCTAATACACTAATTACTTTAACCTTACCTAATTAGCTCACCTTTTTTTGGACTCTCGGCTTCAGGTATTACTTTATCATTTATGGTGGCACTTTTTGGTTCTGATGTGGTAGCTGAAAGGAGAATTGACAAAATTGTAAATAAAAATACTTATAATTGTTTTCTTAACACAGATCACAGAATTCTTATTAACTATGAATTAAATCACTACTGACTTGTCTATGAAACAGACGCAGAAATCTTTAGTATAGCTCACAAAGGGCTAATAGAATTTTCCTTCTTTCCATAGGCATATATGTATAGGTAAAAAATTATTGTACCTTCAATGATCATTTCTTCTGGGCTGTCAATAAACTTGATGTCTGCTCCGATATCTAATACTTGTGGTTCTTGCTTACTTGTTACACATTGGTCACCACCAGGCTCATCAAAATTCGAATCATTACTGGAACATGAGATCTTTCTACCACTATTACTTCCTTCACTCTCACTAATCAGAAACTTATTGAATCTCTTCAGAACCTTTTTTTGGGATTTCGAAGGTTTAAAATCGAGTGCTCTGCACCTACAACCAATTATTTTTTTTAATACATACCATGCATGTTTGTAATGTATTGTAATATTTATATCTTTTATTGAATTGAACTAAAATTAACAAAATTTAAATTTAAGTAATGGTACAAACCGTATAGTGTACATTGGACAACAAATTATATTTAAAGTTGGTTTATAGCAATATTTGCCTGAGCGTCTCCAACCTCTATCTATAAGGTCTTGATAATCTGACACTGACATTGTGTGGGCCCATAATCCTGTAGACATAATATTGTCATTAAATATTCATATTAAATGAGGTAAAAATATAACTTAGTCGCAAAAATCATACCATGTCCATAATTTGAATCGGGTTTCTTACAATATCCACATTTGTATCTCTCTTGTTCAGCAAAGTATTCAATAATGCTTCTTGGCATGTTGAATATTTACTGATTTAAGGAAAAAAACTAAGAATCCACGGCAATCACAAAGAAAATTATGAAACATGAATTAAAAATAATAATAAAGAATGCACTTATTGCCAATGTCAAATCCATGAAATTGTTTTCAGTCTATTATAGGATTTTGACAATTGACGGTAGATAATAGATTGGTATTTTATTTTTTTTATTCAGTTCATTTCAGTGTTTGAATCAGTTCATTGATTTATTTAACTTTGTTGGTGCTCTAATTTTTATTATTAATCGATATTGTCTATATGAGATATTATCATGAGTGGGCTGTTACAAGGTGCTCTAACAACAATATAACTAAACATTCTTGAGATTTAATTAAACAGTCTATATTTAGGTTGTTGTACGATAAGTAAACGGTAAGATATGGTATATAATAATTACATATTATAATGCCAAAAACTAATATAATATTATTTTAAAGAACGGAAATACACTTATTTTCCACAAAGTTTTATTTATTGACAGCTTTGAATCAAGAGCAATTTTCAAATACCCTTTTTTAATTTGACGGGACAGAAGCCTATAGATAATACATACAGATGATTATGCACTGTTAAAAGAAACAAATTTGCCTATGGAACTATATAAGAAAATATCAATCATCAGTACGAATCTATTTATAATAAAAAATTCCTTTCCGTTAAAAGAAATATTTTCGAAGGCATCTTCTTTTTCACCTCTGAGATATTTGCAGTTTTGACCGTTTAGGTGTAAAAGATACGCGATTTCTATGAAAGGAGATTTATGTCATTTTCATAGTCTATATAGAAACTATAATGTTTAGTTAAAACTTACGAATCCACATCCTCGTCGACTTCAGTAATATTCGACATTCGAGATGGTGTTAGCAAGCGTCTTTTACGGTTTGGTCTAAAAAAACCTAAACTTCTTAAAACATATATTTTAAAATGTATAAATGGCCAGTATTTTACAAAATAATAACGCGGAGTATTCTTTACTACATCAGAGTACCTGCGCCTTATATTATTCCATGGCTGAATGTGGGTATCTCCCCAAATCAAGAAAACTACCCCACTTAATAAAAGCATCCCACCATGAAACGACCAAATGTATTTCCAAATTAAAATTGAACTCTGAAAATGCATTTGTGTTATAACAAAGAATAAGAAGTTGCATATTATACATTCATTACGTTTGCCTAATCATGGTCTGCAAAGTATATATCAGTTTCAACGACCATCTTTTCTTCTGCAGACATGGAGCCCATTGCCATTTTAACCTGTCAATTTTGTCAAGTTCTTTGGGAGTATGGACTATTAAGACAATATCGTCTGCAAATCTGAGATGCGAGATGTATCTGCCATTTATGTTGATTCAGCCCCCATCTCAGTTGAGCATATTAAAAACATCTTCCAGTGCGTTAGTAAAGAGCTTTGGAGAAATTTTTGTCTTAGGGTAAGTATGTGGTCTATTGTGCTATAACCTTTTCGAAACCCAACCTGTTCCGGCGGCTAGAATTCGTCTAATCTTCGAGCGAGGCGATTTGCGATATTATAATAACAATTTATTACAATATATTTACCCCAAACTTATACGTAACTTTACCAACACAGAAGGGAACGATAATTCCTGGAAAATTGCCCATAATCTTTATAACTGTATTTATTGAATTCACATAAGTTGGAGATAATTTCTGAAAAACATACACAACCATCACATTTCGTTTGTAATTATTGCCCATATAAACGGTAAAACTTACATAACAAATGTCGAGTACTAGATCCATTCCTGCTGCCGTCAATGCAACAGCTATTGTAAGGATTGTCGGGCCCGGATTTATAGGCTGAACACAAACCATTAAAACCAAGAAACCAGGAATAACATGAGCTGCAAATGAAAGATTTTGTATCAATAGTAAATGAATGCAAAGTTACAAATTAAAATTTACGTAATGTCCGAAATGACTTACAGATAATAATAAAACATTTCTTCAAATGTTTAATCCGTTTTATTTTCGAGCTTTGTTTATACCAGAAGTATGTCTGAATAATCATTGTGCCTAGAATTAATCTTAGAAGAAACGGTAACGCTGTCAGCGCTGACGCCTAAAATTCCAACATGAACAATATAATACCGCCGAAGAACAATAAGATACTTAATAAGACAAAACGTAACTTCGTAAATGCTGTATTCCATTACTAGAGTATAAAAAATGGGTCCGTGAAGGCAAAGCGATACAATCATCCAGGCGTATCCAAAATTGAGAATGCACACGGCCCAGAAAGGGATGGATTTCAAAATCAGTCGCCAGGGGGCTTGTGTATTTGTTAGCTGGAATATAAACCTGCTTCTTAAATACGGTTGTAGTTTACGCGAGTGATACACATTTAAATAAAACACTTTAAACTGTTTAAAACTCGAAATATATTAGTTAAACTTATTTGATAATGATTTTAACTACGGCCCGACGTTTGTGGTGACGAGGAGACTAAAATGAGTCGGGCCGTACCTCTACTACTTTTATTTAACATTTAACAGTCATCACAGAATTGATAAGATGCAATTTTTATTTTACTGTTGGATTGGTTTGGAAATCTGGATATTAAATAAGTGGTAGTAATATCGTAATTCCATCGGGGTCACGCACAACCGTCCACAGATATTTTTACTGCAAAAATATATGTGGACGCCGTGAAATTTAGTCGCTTACGGTTTCAGTCTGTGGTTTTCCGAATATCCAAAGCCAAAATAGGTCGACAGCATATCTTGTTTAAATGTTGTGCCACGGGCTTGTGTGTAGAGGACACTCTCAGGACAGGACCTCTCCTTCGACCATAAAAAAGTACTTACGTGTATCGTAAAGACCGAACCGATAGTATTTCTCAGATATAATTGTTCGTCCTTTGATATGAAAGAATGCTTATCTGGCGAGTCGTTTATTACTAGAAGCCAAACAGTTGCCCACAAAATTTGTATAGCGCCGCACACGTAGAAGCCGACCGACCATTTGTAATAATATTGAACAGCAGCACAGATAAGAAATGTGGAACACGTCCCAGTTGTAATACCTGACAAAACAATGTCGACCGTTACACTAAAAAGAACCATATTGGTGTAGTGGTATGTGCACGGGAAGCTTTACGAGGTCAGGAGTTCGATTTCAGTCGAGTGCCAGAAAAATATTGTTTTCTTAATGTTTCTGGAAATCGACAGTGTCAACAGGCATTTGTTAAGCATAATGGAAGGCATGTTGGCTAAGATCGAACTAAAGTGGGTTTGAACCTCGTGTACAACCATTTTTTTTTTATCTATACTAATATATAAAGCTAAAGTGTTTGTTTGTTGGAACGCGCAAATCTCAGGAATTAATGGTTCGAATTGAAAAAATATTATTGGTTGGACCATTTATCGTATTTGGTTTTTGTAGGCTATAAAACATCACCAATAGGAGCGAAGACACAGAGGGAAATGTGAAAAAACGGAGAAGATTATTAAATCTTTGAGAGGTCCGTCGCGTGCGTTGCGGAAACGGTTCAAGTTACCCAAAGAATATATGTGTATATACTATATAGTAAATATTAACTCACAAGAACTTTTTATGTGGTAATCAAATTTCTTCGAAATACTTCATATAAAAACAATATTATACTTCCTCTAATATAACAAAAGGAAGTTTGCCAGGTCAGCTACAGTATAATATGTTTTTACCGGCATATATAAACATATAAGTAATTAATCTATAAAGAGACTTAGTCGATACTAACCACAATAAGCCCACATAAAATAATGCCTTTCAATTGGAGGCACCCAGTGACGCAGTACCTGTATCATACTTGGCAACATTGCCCCCTGAAACAAAGCTACGTAACAGAAATGAAAGTTAGAATACGTAATAGTACGTAACGGGATAAAATGATTAGCTGAACGAACCGCACAGAATCCATTCAATACACGCAAGATGAAGAATAACCAGAAACTAAACCACGCAGCTGACGGCACAAGACAGTTTAAAACGCCTGATGTTATTCCGGCGGCACCAACTACCCACGTCGGTCCAAAACTGAAACATACGGACATTCGACAGGTTCGTTGGCCTAATAGTAGCAATAAAGGGTTGATCAACGGTTCCAGGTCTAACATGTTTCTAATTTTTTTTTTAACCACGTTGGACTTCGCCTGGAATTGCGGATATTCCATGGGTGGTAGGAATATGGAAATTCCGTCCGGGGCAAGACCACCATCCACAGATAAAAAAAGTCGTGAAGCTTAATCGCGTTTCAGTTTCAGTATATGGATTTCCGAATATCCGAAGCCAAAAGAGGTCGACAGGTCTTGTTTAGATACTATAGGCTGCTTGTCTGTCCTCTACTATCATAAAAAAATACTTTGATATAATTATTGAGATATATAGAGGTTCATATCATTGTTCACTTCCATACAAAACATAATATTATAAAACTGAAGAGATGATTAATCTCTCTAATTTTAGGAACTACTGGTTCGAATTGGAATTATCTTTTTGTGTTGGATAGGCAATTTATAGAAGAAGATTTAAGGCTATAACATCACGACAAAGGATTCGCCTAGATCTTCAGTGGAAATTAACAGTGGAAGAATGCGTAAAATTATTCATCTTTGAGTTCGGTAAGGACAAAAGGTTGTATAAAAGAATGATTCTTTAAATGTATCTTGCAAGAACCATTATATATGTTCAATATCTCTAATTTTTAATACTCTTTGTATTACAACATACCGATCACCAATGTTGTGGAATATTGGAAAACAAACGCAGTAACCAATGTGATAAGCTGCCAATAGAAGTGCAATTTTGTTCTCATTCCAATTTAGTAAATCAATGCCGTACTGAAATTTATAATCGAAATTATTTATATAATACACTTTTAACGGTTTAAAACGACAAACATAACCGTCGTAAAAAAACGCTAACGTCGGGCCGTAGATGAATAAATTAACTAATATATTTTGCGTTTTGAATCGTTTAAAGTGTGTTAAGAACTTTGCAATGCACAGAAAAATAATCGAATCGTCTATACCTGGGATCGCACTAATTTTGTTTTAGTTCTCAGGATTTCCGTTTCATTGTCGTATGGGAACAGTAACTTTTTTGATATCTCGACCATATCAACAATATGAACGCTTAGATTGTATCGCACGATATAAATAAGGAAATATCCAAAAAATATCATTATACCGACCTAAAAAATCCAATTATTTCTGACAACGTAATGCATAACAATGGGACAAGGTTCTGTGGACAATTCTCTTACGATAGCTCGAACACAAATTATCATATTTCATAAATGTTTAGTCGTTTAAAACGAATTGACAAAACTTTTCAGTGAGGAATGTGATAATTAATCATGGCCATGGTGATTTATACGTCCATGAAATGTTTTAAATAGGTAATCTGTAACATAATCGAGCTCGTTGGTATAGCGGTAGCAGTGTATGGCTAGCACAGTAATCAACGGGTTGTGGGTTTGATAACCGCCGGGTCTTGTTCGTTTTACTCTCATAAAAAAAAGCAATTTGGTCTAAGGTCAAAGCCAAATAAAAAAACTAGGATGTAGTCAACGTGAAATTTTATTATCTCGTTAAATTTAAATAATAACATTTTCTGCTAATAATAGTGTCACAATTGTCACGATTCCATTCTGAATGCTGGCTTTTTTCGTTTTTATCAAAATTTTGGTCCAATCATCGTATTGTATTTGTGAAGATGCATTTGTTTTTAAGTTAGCCAAAATACAAATGGTTCGTAATTATAAGATATATGCCATCACGAGCTCTTCGACGAGAAATGTTTACTACGGAAACAACGTGCTATGACTCACGTCATTTTCCTCTAAACTGCTATGAAAAATGATTGCTATTGTTATTTATTTACATGCAACAGCCACGGTAGTGCAAAATTATTAGAAGGTCATCTGCGTAATTCCGCTTTAGGTGTTTATAATTTAAACATTTTCAGTCAGAAGTTATTGGCTAAATAAGAGAAGTCGAAAGGAACCCAAATGAATGTATTTTAATTCTCAATTTTTCTTTACCTTCTGCATAGCTATGTTGTCTTTTTTGTTTAACACGCCATAATCAAAGAGCGTAGATGGTCGAGTCATTATCACAGTAGCCTTTTTTCCTATTAAGCCAATACCAAACAGTTGATTCTCTAATTGTTTAATGAAATTACAATTTGTCAAGTACTTCAACTACCATAGAAATTAAAATATCAATAATTGTGATAATACTGATATATATACCGAGATACGTCGTAATAATTTTTAAAATAGCATTGAAATAAACACTTTAACGGTTTAAAACGCGATATATATTAATTGAACTTATTTGATTTTTTTCTTTGCAGCAGCCGCGGTCACGGGGAGACGTGGCTACGGCTTCTCCAAAGCATCCGAAACGTTGGGCCTAATAGGCGAAACGCGTTTAAAACCGTTAAAGTGTTTTATTTAACTAACCACATCTATCTATTTGGCAATTATCACAATCACACAACTCGTCTCTAACTTAAGTACATAAAGAATAAATTAGTCCAGCTTTTAAATATACTTTCGTTTATATCACCAATGTCCTGCCCTGCAAAACATTTAATAGATAAAATTAAATAAATTCGGAATAACAGCAACATTAAAACAGTAGGACATTGGTACATGCGAGATCGTCAAAACGATTACGTCTATGCTCGTGTGACGGTCAACGATGTTTCTTTGGAATCTTTTAAATTGCCATTTTTCGCATCGTCACCCATGTCTTTAAGATTATCAGTCTTTATCTTGTCATCGTCCTTGTCGTCGGATGCGAAATTCCACGGTTGAATATTGCCCGTTCCGAAGAGGATAAAGAAAATTGCTGCAACTATGTACACAGATGCACCGATGAAGAATACGGGGCGCCACTGGTCGAATGTGTTCTGGAATTAAACATATTTTTAATACCCAAATCTTAATTACTATTTATTTCTATTTATCGCTACAAGTAAGGAATATTATTACTACGCTCTTAACACTTATAAGTAAAATTGAATTTTCACAGTTTATTATCATATAAGGAAGTCTAGGATTAGGCCAAGAGCGAGTTGGACTCGCAGGCGCAGAATGACGAACGAAAATTACATATTGTACCTTTTTATCTACACTACTATTATAAAGCTGAAGAGTTCGTTTGTTAGTCTGAAAGTACTAATCTCAAGAACTTCTAGTTCGAATTGATATATTATTTTTATGTTGGGTAGATCATTTATCGAGAAAGGTTTTAGGCTAAACATCGCAGTGCAATCAATTGGAGCGAAGAAACGGCGGGAAATGTGGAAAAAACTTGGAAATTGTAGAAGTTAGACTATGTTTGCAAAAATCTCCTTTTAGTTTTTTTATATATGAAGCAAAAAATGTCTTTGTTTTTTGCTTTGGTAGTGTTTATTTTAATTTTACCTTTTAAGTACTTGGTTTAATTCAAATTTAAGTTTTAAAAGTATATGTGTATATAAATTTACTTTATCGTGTGCAATAAAAGTAATGACTATTCTTACCCCGTTTCTGGTGAAATACGCCGTAATCATGGGAGTGAAGAAGCCAGCTGTACTCCCAATCGCGTTCGCTATACCGTACAACGTGCCAGCGTAATTCGGCGCCAAGTCCTGGTGGTTCTGCAGATTCGTCAACGTAGCTGCCCCATTGAAGCCCATAGACATCGTGATTATCGTGACGGACAAGGCTGTCGAGCAGCCAGTGTACATCATCAGCACTAGTAGAATCCCCGGGATGATATGGGAGAAGAGACAGAAGAACTTCCTTATAGTCGTAGTGGTCATCATTTTTCTTGACAATATACAGTCACCCAATGACCCGAAAACGGTTGCTAACAACATTCGCGCAAGGTAAGGCAGTGCTGATATGACCCCAGCCGCTTGGAGTTCGAAATTTAGGACGCTCGAAACGAACTTTGGGCCCACTGTCATAACAAAATACAGTCCCCATACATTTCCGTAGTGCAATATGATCATGGCTAAGAAAGGAAAAGATGTACAGATGCTCTTGAACGGTGGTAAACCCTGAAACAAAGTAAGTAGCCGTGAGTAAATTGTAGTACATCACAATAATTATACTAATTACCTGAAAGAGCTTCTAAGATCACATCTAACAGGAAGGATAAACAATACAATACCATTTTAGGTAGATACGTAATTTAAAATATTGATGATCTGTTGAGTGTATAAAATACGTGCCTTCTAGTATAAGATTTATCGTAGATCTATACTAATTTTAAACTGAAAAGTATGTTTGTTTGTTTGCACGCGCTAAACTCAGGGACTACTGATTCGAATTGTGAAATTCTTTTTGTGTTGCACCATTTATCGAGAAAGTCTATAATATATCACGATACCACCCATTTCTTCAGATTATTCCGGTATGGCCAAGAAACAGTTAAAATGTGAAGAAATGGGCAAAATTACTAATCTTTGTGGGCTTCCCTTGCATGCGTTGCGAAAACAGTGCAAGAAAATATGTATGATAGAATGAAATGATCCTCTTTAAATGATCACAAAAAATTACAGCGACAAAATATTTCAATGTTTTAAGATTAACTTAAGACGAGACGCAAACGACGTCGTAAGTAAAAGCTAGTTTATAGTATACAGGGTTTAAAGAACCCTTTTTTTGCCAACCTGACCTTGCCTATCCTCTTCATATCAAAATACACACAAAGACACTAATTTTATCATCTATCGCGATCCATAATTTTACTCACTTTTGACGTCTTAACTTTGTCGCCGAGGGCGTCCATGATGTATTTCTTTTCGGCGCTCGTTATCCTCGGGTGGTCATTCGGAGTATCGGCTACCAGATACCACCAGAAACCGCACCATACAAAGCATAGTGCGGCGGGCACGTAGAAAGCGGATGCCCAACCAAACTTTTCCATTAAGGGGCCGGTTAACGACCACGTAGCGACGATACCCAACGTCCCACCCATCATAGCACTCACAAACTTTCCCTTCTCCGCAGGAGGCGCCCACCTGGCGACCAGCGCGTGTAGAGCTGGATATGTAAATCCCTACAAAACACAAACAAATAAAACCTTATTTATAATTTAAGATTACATCCTACTTCGTGGTAAGGGGGCTGTTGTGGAGGGGCTGCAAACAATTTTTATGTTAGAGGAACAAAGACAAAAATGGGGTTTTCTTAGTGGAATGCGTAATATCTGAGTGAAATCGGAAATCCACAGACTGAAGACTGAAGAATCGGTGAACTGGAAGAATTATGGACGGTGTTTGTTGACCCGGATGGAATTTGGACTACCTTTTTAATATCCAGATTACCAGACGGAAATATGTTTCAGAGAATTCATAAATTGATGAGAAACATATTGGAGCTGGTAGTGATCGAAATCACGACTAGTTGATTATTACATATATACCACTAGGCCAGTATCCTTCACTCCTCATACGTAAATACTTTCGTAGAAAGACAAGCGTAAAATGATAAACGAGCCATAATAATAAATACCAAGCTATATATAGTAATATATAGTTGACACTGCGCAACAAAGTCGGTTTAATATCACGTATTCATGTTAAAAACAAATAACTTAATAAGTATAAGTACATAAGGACTTGTCAATTTAATAACCGTATTACGTAATGAGAGCAAACAGACAAATGATTTTGGGACAAAAACGATGTTTTTGTAAGTTGAGGTCATTTTAAAACATTAATATGTTACGTGTAGTGTACACGAACAACATACAATTATATTCAGAGCAAATACATATATCTATACTAATATTATAAAGGTGAAGGTTTGTTTGTTATAATGCGCTAATCTCATGAACTAATGCTTCGAATTTGAAATTTCTTTTTGTGTTGGTTGGCACGTTTATTGAAGAGACTTTAGACTATGTAACATCAGGCTGGCAATAGCAGTAAAGAAACAGGGAGAAATGTAGGAAAATCGAGGAAAATTATTCATCTTTATGCGCTGCGAAAACGGTTCAAGAAACCATAAATTATCTAAAAAGATGTCCGTGACGTATATGTCTGTCTTTTAAGATTATCTCACAAGTAACGACATATCACGGAGGAGGTCGTGCTTAATACATAGCTAGTTATAATACTAGCGCTATAGTTTGTGTAATAGTGAATGACTGTAGAAAAAAACCCAGCCACATAAAATCTAAACAAAATACGCTGTCGACCTATTTTCTCTTGAATATTCGGAATAAGATTACAAATACTATAACGTAAACAAACCTATATTATATAATTTCAAACGCTACATGCTTCTACGAAGATTCTAATTGCCTACAAAAAGTTAGTTCTAAAGCTGATGATATCTCGCTTGTTATGTAATAAGTATGATGCTATTGTTTACCCCAGCACAGCCGAGAAGAAGCCTTATGATAACCAACGCCACGAAACCCATCCTCGCTGCTAATGGACTCAATGCCGTAAGTATCCCGCTGAGCAGTGACGTCACCAGGATCACATATCTGGGTCCCCACCTTTCAGCCGCCATACCACCAACGAGAGACGTGAATGGATAGCACCAAAAATATGCACCTATTATCGTCCCCTGTTGGTTCATAGTCCAATTGAAATGTTCGCCTTCTACCTGCAAAATTAAAAAATGTAATAACCTACGGCACCATCAATTGTGGTTTAGCCGTTCATTATAAAGCAGTAACATATAAAAAAATAACCTAGAAAACAGTGTTAAACGTACCAGCAGCTTATATTATTACATGTGGCAGTCAATTGATTTAATTTTCCCCCAATTAAAAAACACACATCGTTTATATACCACTTCATAGACATAATCATATTTTGTAGTACAGAAAATAAATAAATTAATCTAATTCATAAGGTCGCGATCACAGAACAAATAAGGTTACACCTATATCGGGTGATATGATATTATTTTTAATGACAGAAGAAGAGACGAGCATGAGGTTCATTCGAAGAAAGGAAATACCCCAGCAATACAACATCCAAATAAGCTCTTGACTTTCAGAAATGTACATACTGAAACTGAATTACACTTTACGGCTTTTACATCAACAGACGATGGAATGTCGATATTTCTATCCATTTAATATCCAGATGTTCGAGACGAAGTCTAACATATTACAAAAAATATACATATACATCGATTCAATATTACATTGAACCCGCGAGCCGTTTAGATTAGCTATAACTTAGTATCATTGAACCCTCCCGTCAAAAAGGCGAAAAGAGTGTAAAAAGAACGAGATATAATTTTGGCGTTTGGTTTCTCGATTTTCGACTCGCGTAAACAAGTTTCACTTGGACTGCGTTTATACACGCGGCATCTTATCGCTCCTACCTGAGAACGTGATTTTCTAACTTCGTCTAATGTCGCGTTGGCATCGAATTTCATAGTTTCATTCACAGCTTGTAGATTAGATCCGCATTGTGATGTTTTTCTGTAATAAAACAATATGGTTAACATAATAAGCAAGGACTTACATAAGTATTGTTTGTAGTTTACGCGAGTGTTACACAAGATATAAGTACGTCCTTAACGGTTCAAAACGTGAAATATATTAATAACCAGCGCCCACCATCGTCTCATATGTTCTATACAAATGTCTGGTTTTATTTATTTAGTCCTTATGCGTTAAAAAATAAAAATTATAGTAGGTATTGCAACAGCCCGAAGGGGTTTGGATTGGAATCTTATAGAAATTAATACATTATTTCGGCCGGACGAGGCACACATCCGACACACAATGTGTTCCTCCCATACCCCACGAGAAAAGCATGAATGCACACACACTACGTGCGAAAGATCTTTAAGGTTCTCGGGCATTAAAAGAAAGCAAAATTATAAACGTATTGTAGAATTCCATCTATTTATCTATGAGACGTCACAACCCCTTGGGGCTTGGCCTGGTCAAGCAAAAAACTTTAAACCGTCCCAAACTAGGTGACTCTAGTTTCTGGCCCTCAAAAGTCCTAAAGCCCTGTTCGGCGCCAGTTAGTCAACGTAATTTTGGCCTGCCACGTCTCCGTTGACCATGAGGGCTACCATTTAGGAGTCTCCGGGGTACTCTCTCCTCTATTGTGGAATTTATCAACGACTCTCCAAAATTAATGAAAATCTAGAAAAATTACTAAACGTGAAGCATCCATTAAAACATTGATCTATAAGAGAACCCATGGACTGTCTAATGTACCTTTTTTGGGTAATTATCTTTTGACGCGCATCGTGTGAGTTTTTGTGATGGTCTTGCTAAAGAGTGTAGTAAAAAACGACTTACGTAGTTGTTTTGGCGGGCTCCGGGACCATTGCAATTAGATTTAGACTTATGTTTACTCTTAACATATAGATCACCCAACAACTTGTGAATATCATCAGCCATAGGTTAAACCTCACTGGTACGACGTCTGAAATAAAAATTATCATTATTTACGTAAATTATTGTTCATCTCATTCTAAATTAACTAATTTCCTAGAATATTTTAACTACTTTTTAGTTATATTTTGCATACGTTCGTTAACCTAATTTTTCTGAGCATCGTAATAAAGTATTGTTCCTGGTTCTGGTTTTTCTTTCTTGCTTAAAATCTTTATTTTAAATAAAACACTAACGGTTTAAAACGCGATATATTAGTTAAACTTATTTGAAAATGATTTTTTACTTCGGCCCGCCGTTTCGGATGCTTTGCAGCAGCCGTGACTATGGCAAAATCATTTTTTAATAAGTTTAACTAATATATCGCGTTTTAAACCCTTAAAGTGTTTTATTTAAATGTGTACTACTCGCATAAAGTATAGACAATATCTTTATTTTAGTACTATAAATCGTATTTTTTCATAATGAAGGCGTAAACTTTAAAACAATTTTAGTATAGAAACTAAACTGTGTTTCCTTGGCAGTTTTATTCGGCCTTGATCTTATAGGCTTATAATTTTATTATTTCTAAGTAAATTAGTTGCTTTGTTCGAATAAATTAATTATATTTAAGTTTATGCTGTTTCCGTATCAAGGATTTTTGGCAAGACTTATGGCATGTTCTTTCCTATCCTGGTTGTCGTGTATCCTCTTTTATCGTTCTCTTTTCCTATATGCAGAGGTTGCCTGAATGAAATCGATAAGGCCCTGTGCACTTTTTAATGTAAGTAATTATCAATATTTTAAGTCATAGTACTACTTTGTATTTTATTTGAGTGTTTTATTATTTTTATCATTAATCTTATCAGCTAACAATAGATGCAAAACTATCATTTTTTGTATAATTTTCTTATAATAGAGAAGAACAGACAACAATTAAACAAGATGGCTTCGGATATTCGGAAATCCACAGGCTAAAACTGAAACGCGAATTATCTTTACGGCCTTTTTATCTGTGGACAATGGTTTGTGACACATCCAGATTTCCAGACGAAGACCAACATGTTTCAGAAAAAAAAAAATTAGAAAAATGTTGGACCTGGTGGGGATCGAACCCATGTTCCGTTTCTTCATTATTATATATAACTAACAACACGAGTGAGCCCATCGAATATGTTCTTTTCTATGTTAACTTAACGGATTAATCAATAATAAAATATTCAAAATTGTGTAGGTGTTTGTTGTGCGATTTTATGCGTCATTTCTTTGGTGACCAGGTTTCACCGTATATTCCTGTTTAGCCGTTAAGTAACGCAAGAAATTGCGGTTCCGTTACTTGTTTCATAAAATTCATAATCTTTGGTATTCTTTTGTTAAGTTTACGACGCACCGATGAAATAAAATTATTACCACACCTTCGACAGGACGTGTAAAATATTATATTGATCATTGGAATAAAACACATTAACGGTTTAAAACGCGATATATGTATATTAGTTAAACTTATTTGATTTCTTTTGCTACAGCCGGACGTTTTGGATGCTTGCAGTATGCGTGGTCACGTTTCCCAATAATTAAGATATTTTTAAATAAGTTTAACTAATATATATCCTGTTTGAAACCGTTGAAGTGTTTTATTTAAATGAGTTCTACTCGCGTAAATTACAGACATGTTGATATCACTTAAGTATGCAGATATAGCTATGAAACGGGCCCTAATAACAAAAATATACAACGCGCGTTCAGGTGTATATACACAGTAGTTAATATCGCCCAATCAATGCCGTCACAGTTAAGCAAAATATAGATAAAACACACGTTCGAGTCTTTTATATTATTACAGTACGATAACACTAGGTCCGTCAGATGAAAACAATTATATTGAAAAGATTTCTTAGCTACCTCCACAATAGCTAGAAGTGAATTAAACCCTTTTAACGGTTTTAATCGCGGAATATATCAGGTAATCATTTTTTAACTATGAAGCGACGTTCATTATTATTTATAAGATTTCTTGAATAGGTTTGGCGTTTAAAATCGTTAATATTCTTAATTAATGTTAACCGCTTGTATGAAATAGTGACTATTCAATAGTTATCAAAAATAGTACGAGCTAATAACAAATTTGAGGATAAGTTTTTTTTAATGATAATCGAGGACAGGAGAGCATGGGGTTCGCTTGATGGTAGGTGAAATACAGTAGCCTATAGCATCTAAACAAGATAGGTTGTCGACCTATTTTGGCTTTGGATATTCGGAAATCCACAAACTGAAACCGAAACATAATTATTTCACGGCGTTTTGATCTGTGGTTCTTCACCACCAATTTAATTTCCCGATTACCAGACTATAAATTGATTAAAAACATGTCACACACATTAGGAACATGTAAGCGAGGTGATTTTTTCTAGTAATAAATATATGACTTACGTAAACATTTAGATATTTTATCAATAAAATATTATCTATTGTAATGACGGTACCATTGACGAACCACAAGAGTACACTTTGAAAGGACACTAACCAAAGCGATGTATAGAAAATTGCCTTTTATTATCTTTGAATCTCATTGTTAACCATTCAACGGCGTTAAATTAAATACGCCAATAACCGTTGTGTCGTTATAAAAACATTATTGAATTATTGAAAAAAATATAAAAAATCCTAATTTATAAAATAAAACACCAAAACTGCGTACAATGAAAACGTCATACTTGTCATAATATATGTTATGACAATTGATATACAGAAAATAGAATATAAATGAAAATGATCTTTAGATTAAAAATATACGACACAGGCGGGTCTTGAACCGACATCCACAGCTTTCAAAGCAGCTGGTCTTACCAATTGAGCTATTGCGACAATAAAATATTAAATATGCATAGTGAAAAATACTTGTATCGATACACGCATTTACGATAAACAGTATAAAAATTGAACTAGAATCGAAGAAAATCTTTATTCTGTTTTTTCCATCGACATAAACCCAACGACACTCGACACGTTAAAATCTTTCATGCATGCACAAATACTATATTTACCTCATATCTACATAGTACACACATTTTACGTACGTATTTGCGACACATTATTAATACATCTATATTTTAATCATATATCTATATTTATTATTGTCTATATTTAAATGTAAAAATACCCACTATACACTAAACACATTACACTAAAGTTTTCTGAATAAAAAAGTGTTAGTAAAACTGTACATTATAGTTACATTCAAACCCCCCAATTTCCCCCCCCCCCCGAATCCTTTTTAAAAACCCCCCCTTTTTCCCCAATTTTTTTCTTCCCCCAATCCCCCCCCGAGGGAAAAAAATCCCCCGCCCCCCCGGGTTTTTTTTCCCCCCCCCCCCCCCCCTTTTTCCCCCCCCCCCCCCCAAGGCTATAAATATAAAACATTGTGCTGTGACTAATAAAAGCGAAGATACAGCGAGAAATGTGAGAGAAAACTGGAAAATTATTCATCATTAAATATTGGTTTCCGATGCGTACGCTGCAAAAACGGTTCAAGCTACCCAAAAAATATGAATGAAAGAATTATATCACTTTAAATGATCTAAAAAAAAGGCGGCAACGCTATATGTGTATGTTTTATGTTTAACTTGCAAGAACAACGAGAACTTGACCGACGTCGTGGGTAACAGCTTGAGTTTATAAAGATGAAGGGGTTTCCAAACGAATTTGGATGCCGAAAATAACTATTCTCGCGGACAAAGTCGCTTATTTAGTAACGATATAAACGAGTTTCCTTAATAACGTTACATTGGTCAAAACAAAAGAAAAGCTAAAAGACTAATTAAGTGGAACTTCCATTCTTAAGAGGCTCCACAATACGGCAAATATATATAACATATAGACCAGTGACACACAAGTGAAATTTTCCTTTGTACGGGGTATAGTATAATAAAATAGTGAAGTGTTTTGTTTATCTGACTTCTTTGCTCTAACCGACCCAAACTTTGCTAAGATTTAAGATTAGAACTAAGATTTGCCCCTTTTGATTCGAACTCAGGTAACGCTTACATAATTATTAATTACTTAAATTGATTTTTTAAAATATAATTATTCAGAATTAATTACAGATAAATTTTACAATAATTGGCAAACAAGTATAAAAAAAATTATATATTTTTTTAATGATTAGTTATAGTATCAAAAAAGACATACTAATATAAAGTTAAGAAGAAAATGAGGTAATATTCCTTGTTGCTATATGTTTTTGGTGAAATTCTATATTTTGAATAAACTACTGTTTCGGTCAAGAGCCGGTAGCTGAAAAAGGCCTTTTGTTATGGTACTAAATTTGAATGTCATGGTTCATTATTGCAAATGGCCTCCACAAAGATCGTTCGTGTATCTACTTGCTTGTCTAATTGACGATGGCTTGAGTCTGTGTTATGACTTTTCGGGTAAAAACTTAAACCGTTAGTTATCTTTTTATGTATGACTAGCTGTGTCAGCGACTTCGTCTGCGCAAAATCGTCATTTTGGGCGTAAATAATTTCTCTTCATCTTTATAAACTTAAGCTGTTACCCAAGACGTCAGTCGCTTTCCCGGCTTTGTTGGAGGTTTTTGGATCATTTAAAGAGGAATCATTTTTGCATAGATATTTTTGGGTATATTGAACCGTTTTCGAACGTACGCATCGGAAACCCACAAAGATGAATAATTTCCCCCTATTTTTCCACATTTCCCGCTATTTCTTCGCTCCAACCAGTAGTCCCTGAGATTAGCGCGTTCAAACAAACAAACTTTAAATATTAGTATAGATAGAGGAAGATAGAGAAGCGTAGATTCACTTGAAGGAAGGTGAAATTAGCTATAATATTAAATTTTAACCACCGGTTTGCTTATTCGAGAGGTTAAGTTAAAATGTTGCTTTTTATAATAAGATACTTCTAATTGGGAAGCCCCGAAATTCATGATCCGTTTAAGACAATTATTACGGAATTAGACAGCAATTACAGTTTTTTGCAAGTGCGCGTGTCTCAGTTGGTTCAGGATGTATTATTTATCAATTTATATTGTGAGGTGTTTAAAGGAGCTTTTATTTATTTCCTTATATGCGCAATATTTTTATCATACATTTTTCGTATTATATAATACACGAACTGCGCCAGCGACTTCGTCCGCGTAGAATAGTTATTTTGGACATCCAAAATTGTTTTTGCAAACTGTCCTAACCTACGCCAACGATCATGTACCTTCGCTCAAGACCCGTCGTTAGGTTCCCGTTGTTCTTGCGAGTTCATCTTAAGAGATAGACATATTATAGTGTCGCGGACTTTTTTTAGATCATTTAAATAGGAATTATTCCTTCATACATATTTTTTGGGTAGCTTGAACCGTTTTTGCAGCGTGCGCCTCGGAAATCAATAATGATGAGTAATTTTCCCGTTTTGTCTCACATTTCACGTTGTATCTTCGCTTGTATTAGTCACAGGGCGATGTTGAACGCAAAAATTTTTTCAATTTTAACTTGTAGTTCCTGAGATAAGCGCTTCAAAACAAACAAACCCTTCTGCTTTATATATTAGTATAAATTATCTAAATTATGGTCCTAAGTATTGCAAAAAAACAGAGATCAATCAAACTTACGACTTCATACTTTGTTTTTTTTGTTTTCGTTTGGGCGCGTTGATAAAAATATGTTAGCAATATAAATTACAACGTGTTTTGGGGTCGATTTTTCCGTAATAAACTTTCCTAAAGCATGTCAGACTTCGTCTAGAAGATCTAGACGTTAGAAAAAGTTATAGAAACATCGAAATTTCGCCCGACTGACCACAGTCGGAATAGCAGTTCTGTGGATTTCGTAATGTTCATGAGAGAATCAAAATAATTCGACATCTTTAATCCTATCTGGGATACTCCACCATCCACCAAATGAACCCCAAGATTATTTGCCTTAAAATAAATGTATAGTATTGAATAACTGTTTATTGTACACAATATATTATCTATGTTTTTTTTCTACGTAACTGCGCGTGCTAGCCACTGCATAGAAAACATAATAAGCAGAATCTTGCGCAGCACACAGATCGATTAAGATAAAAATCCTATAAAAGCACGTTTGCAAGGTATGCGATTGAAATTATCGTAAGAACTTGGCATTCGTGTTTAAAACAACGAGTTTTATTTGATAACACGGCCCAGGCTTTAACACTAACAGACCCAACCAATTAACTACTTAGCAGAATTGTTGATGTTCGTGTCTCTACAATTGTTGAAGTTTGGAAAACATTTTTCTTTCATTGTTTTTCAATTGTGTCGGTACAGACAATCACTGGAAGCAAACATTTCTCCATGTTTAAAAATACAACATACCATGCACCATAATAGGTTAAACGACCGTTTAAATTCATAAAATTGTTAAAACATACAAATAATATGTTAAAATAAGTATGTCATGTAATAAGTGATAGCTATATGGTGGATACTTCTATAAGTAATTTATAATATTGGCACCAGTTGATAAAGTTTTGTTAGATACAGATTTTATACTCGTTGGCGTACGATAAAATCGTCGATGGAAGTCCACTACACGGTTTTTAAATGTCATGTTTTTTAAAGTCAAAATGAGATTCGCCGAAATTGACCCTTACAAAACATTCCATGATGATTTAAAAATTCGCAAGTCAGAGGTTCATAATTTAACCACATTGTTTTATACTTAATTCAGAGATTAGAAACTATTTAATATCTTTATAACAAAAGAAGTGTAAATTTAACATATTTTATAGGTAGGTAAAGGAAAATTCTGTGAAGTGCGTGATTCGACGATTCGATTCGAGTTCTTTAACCGTGAATACGTTATTATTTGTTGCTTATTAATGGAATTAAGCGTGGAAAGTGGGTTCCTAAGAAAAAACAGATCTAAATATTCTAGAACTAAAATGTCATGAAGAACCTGCTGGGTTAGTTTTTTGGCGCTTATTAGTATTAACATACGTCGGTATTAATTCTCTATAAGCCACATGTAGGATTAATATGGAAGTGTGCCATCATTTACAGTTATTAATTATAATAACTAGTAATGGCTTTTTACTAATCGAAATCCACGTCGGTAATTTAATTAAAAAGATATGTCTACCCTACAGAGTTCAGGTTTATAATATCTGAAGGAACTAAAATGTCCAAATCATAATAAAGAACTGGTTTTGTACCTTATTAGAAATAGAAAACCAAGTAAACTGTTTGCGAAGTATTAAAGCACTGTTGCGTAAAATTAAATTTTAACATCTACAATATTTTTTATTTTAATATTTTTAAAATACATAATTAACAATTAATGAATTGAAAATCGCTGTTAAAACGAACGTATAATTTGATTACTTTCTACCTTCTTAAATTTAGAATCTAAACAGTAAAAAAATATATTGATATTTTTTCAATTCCTCTTAAAACAAATTAAATTTCCGTGAACAAAATATCTACTTCAAAAGCGACAGACATTTCTAGTTTATAGATGCAATCAAATCACAAAAGTAAATATAATAACTTATAAACTCAGTTAATAATGTAGTTATCGTGTATTTTTTAAATTAATATTTTGTCTAAAAATGTTCACTTACCAAAAAATTTTAAATTCATCACTGCCATTTTAAAAACGTTTGGTTCGACACAAAATATAAGTAAAGTCTTAATTCATACTGTAACGATTCTAATTAATCGATCGAGTGATCAGTCAGACGTGTGGACAGTTTTTGAGTTGAGCGCGTATGTGGAACGAGAGACGCGCGCGCACGAGCAAAGCCTGCGAAACGGACGTTCTTTGTCAACAACTGAGAAAAGCCAAAACCTACTCAACACCTACCTACCGTGAAATTTTCCTTAATAGATTCTGTGCTTTGAACTTACTATGAGAAATGTACTGCGTTTGCATACTATTCAATTTCTAAACTAATTTCTACTAAGTTTGGAGAGATTCTTTTAAATTATGTTACCACTGGACTTGACCTTTCAAAATTATAGTAGTCAGTTTGTAACGCCGCCGATGTCGGTTCAAGTTCCACACGTTCCGTACATTTATTTCAATCTAAATACATTTTTAAGTTACAGTTAACATAGTTTGTCTTCAACTATTGGTCTGTCCGTCTATCAGCAAGTAATATTTCACAAGATATGCGTGCACGACTCCGACTCGCGCTTGCCCGATTAGTGTAATTTAAAAATTATACTATATCACTACTTAACTTATATTCAATTGATGTTTTAACATACAGCCTTCATACTTATTCGTACAATTAAACGAAGGAAAATAACCAAAATGCAAAATGCTTGTAATTACCGCGCTATCTAATAGTACATTTAACTGAAGATGCTTGGGTAACTTGCACCAATACGTTAAAATTAAACTTGACCAAAATTTTCTAAAAAAAAATACGAGTCCATTGCATTAATCTGTCGACTTTGGTGTTCTCTGTTTTCAGCCCGCACTCCACTCCTTGACCCTTATTCTATAAGAAAATATATCCTCAAAATGGGCCGGCAGCGCATCATGTTTAGATGTTTTATGGAGTATTTCACCTAAGAAAGTGAATGCATGGGATTTCTTGTCTGTACCCCTCTATCATAAACTTATTTTAGACCAGTGTATGATTTTGTCTTAGAAATAAAAAGATTTGTTTCTCCAGAATTTATATTTTTTTAAACCAATTTAAGCATCGCATCTGACAGGTTACAAATAAGTCATGGAGGGGCAGCTTTCGAATTCAGTTGTCATTTCCTTTACTACATATTCTATTAGAACTTATTACATCGCGAAAGTGTTTTTTGTCTAAGAAAATTTGTCCAGGCGTTTTAAAATTGAAATCTACTTGTACTTATTCACTTAAATATATCTATTGCTATGTAGGCTGACTGTGTACCAACAATTTGAATATATTTAATTCAGGCCTTTATTTGAATGTGTTAAGGGCTAAAGAATATGTTCAGAAAATTGCTTAAATTTATTGTGTTTCATAAGGCATATTTTGCTTAATTTTTTGTATTTCATGACTGTTAACAGATGTCGCTAAATATACTATGTAGTCTGTGGAAAGTCTTTTTGACACTGTGTAGTTTGCCACAGACAAGTGTAATGGTATTAAATACTTTGTTTTTAAATTGTAATCATAAGTTTGTGTGTTCTTTTAGTTCGCTGTACTCTTATCATATAATTTTTACCTTGTCACTTGCCACTTGCTAATGGATTTTTTATCGTATTGCATTCTTAATTGATCTTAAAATTGATTGAGTGTTGAACGTTAATTTGGATAAAATTTTATTTTATGTTTCAATAGGCAAGTTTTGATTGTTCTTATCAGAGCAGGGTTTTTGAAGAATATATTTTTTTATCTTTCTTAATAATGTTCATAGGACGACTACTGCAAATTTCTCGAGGAAGTCTCACTAGATCAATTCACGTTTCGGCGAAGTACAATCAAGCAATGGGTATTGATGGAAATAATATTTTGGCTGAGAGCTTGAAGCGGCAAGTAAGTTAGAGAATAACTACTTTATGTTATAGATTATTCTTATCATATCAGAGCCAGAAGCAGTAACGAAATCATCTTAAACCACTACCCATGAATGGAAAAACTTTAAGTTCAAAGTACACTCACAGCCTTTATTTCATTAGCTTTATAGATTTCTAAATAGTCAAAGTCATAAGTTCATCTACATTCTAATTGGCTGTATGGCTACCCATATATCTTTCCCATGTGTCGTAAAAATATTGTATTTTTTATTATGGAAATTGTTTCATTCCAGGGAATAGAATATGTCTTTGGAATCGTTGGTATACCCGTTATTGAAACATCTATGGCATTCCAATCAGTGGGAATAAAATATGTTGGAATGCGGAATGAACAAGCGGCAGCATATGCAGCTCAAGCTATTGGATATCTTACTGGTTAATATCTTAAATTATTATTACTATACCTATTTATAATATAAGGTATCTTTAACCAACACTTCAATGGATTAAAACGCGATATAAAAATGTTAAAGTGTTGTATTTAAATGTGTACTACTATCGTAAACTATAGACAGTATTTATTTTTAACTATTTAAGATTTCTATTGTTTCTTAATGTATAGGCCAATAGGTTAATGCTAAGTTTTCTGATGATGTAATTTGTTGAAGTATAGAAATATGCAACAGTAATCAATATTCATAGGCTCTGAAATTAGTTAATCTAACATCTTCTAATTAATATGATAGCTTAATATATTAATATTGATAAGAAAATAACATTCAAAGATTATTGATAACACAATGTGTATCTTATATATATTTTGTTTGTGTGTTTGTTTGACATGTCTTGCTGTTTTCTGACCTTTTTTGATGTTGGTGTACATCAAAATCAAATCATGTAGCACAGGACATAGACTATAGATAGATATTGCTTTATAACTAAATATTGCAGCTATTTGTCATTTACATATATTATTATTTATTTTTTATTGGGAACACCTTATAATATTATACATATTAAGTTATGCATTTAGTATATTAATAATTAAAGCTTCAGCCTGATTCTAAAGATTAATAATGCTATCAAGATGTAGTTGGAACTTAATTATTTATTAAATACTATATGTTGCTTTGGTTCAGGCAAACCTGGAGTATGCCTCGCTGTATCTGGTCCAGGTCTTCTTCATTGTATTGGAGGCATGGCCAATGCACAAGTAAACTGCTGGCCGTTATTAGTTATAGCCGGATCATGCCCCGAAGATCATGAGGGTATTGGCGGATTTCAAGAATGGTTACAGGTACATACATATAATGTACATTGAAAATAATTTTAATCACCAAAATTATAATAATTTACATTAGTCCCAAAACAAAAAAATTATGTTTAAAATGCTAAACATTTAATGTTTGAATGCGTAGGTCAACTGACTAGTTCAAAACACAAAAACTTGTTCAAAGTTTATACAATGACACTTATTCTATTATTCAATTATTATCAAAACTGATTTAGAATTTACATAGTAATAATTTCGTTTAGTAAAAGTGTCAAAGTTTTTAAATGATTAAATTAAACACTGATAAAAATGATGTATGGGTATTAAAAGGACTTGAGTATGGATATCAAGAGATAAAGTATTAAATAATGCTTACAATTATTGTGATAAGAAATGGTAATTTCTAAGTCTATAAAGTTAAAAGTACTTTAGAATCTATATGACCTTCCCGGCTATAAAGTCAATCGTTTTGAGCGAGAGAAAGCGAGCTTGTCCCAGCTGAGTCGAAAAAAAAACAATCAACTTTTTTTAAGTTACCCAGGATGTTATATACCATACCAATTAATATATACTATGTAGAATTCTAATCTAAGAATAAAATTAATTAACGTCTGTCAAAATTTAACTAACTGACTTTATTACAAGTAATAATAAAGTAACATAAAATATAAATTGTTCTTATCGAGAATGTATTTTTTATTATTAAAATAAACAATGATATAGACTAGACTCAAATCTACAACCAACGGCTTACCACCCTAATACTTTATGAATTAAGTTGCCATCTTACCACTCACATTTCTCGAATTTTTAATCCTTTAGTTTAGAGATACTTAAAAGGTTAAAAATCGTTCACATTATTTCAGGTAGAATCCAGTCGACCCTATTGCAAGTATGCAGTGCGTCCTCCATCGCCCAAATTGATCCCACTTCACGTAGAAAGGGCGGTCCGCAGCGCATGCGCAGGTCGACCCGGAGTTGCGTACCTCGACATGCCAGCTACTTTACTCACTGTAAGGGTTTAAATCTATGAAGTAACTTCTTTAAAAAAATATTTTGTCTCTTTGTGTACTGTAGGCATCAAAAGTTTTCCTCAAAGACGTCAGTTGTAATTGTGAATCAGAGTACCTACATACTATTCACTTACACTTAAAGTAATCATCTAACATTAAAATGTCTATTTACAACACTTTTCAAACATTTTTTAATGATAGAGATAAAGATAAAATATTCAAAAAGTCCACATAAAATTGTATGTTTCTTATGTGTATATGAATACTTCTAACTGTGTCTTAGAATAGTTTCGTTAATTTCAGGCTGAGGTTGACGAAGAGAAAGTCCCGTTAAATTTCTATAATGCTGGGCCCATAACTCTGGCTCACCCGGACCCGGCTTTAGTGGATCGTGCTGCAGATGTATTGGCGAAGGCCGAAAGACCTCTGGTGATTGTGGGGAAAGGTGCTGCATATGGCAGAGCGGAGGAGTCTGTTCGAAAATTAGTTGAGACAACCAAGATCCCGTTTCTGCCAACTCCTATGGGTATTTATTATTATTATTATATAGTATGCGCCCTTTGGTATGCATTATTCGTGGGTTCAGATTCCGCATGAGTTATACAGTTTTATTTGCTGTCTATGGAATTATACTTGTTTAAAATAATATTAAGTAGTAGTATAGACAAATACCTACTTTTTAAGTTTATGTTTATTTGTAGAATAAAAAGTAAATTAACATAGACACTGTTAGCTTTTTAGGCAATTATATATGTGTAATATTAATTACACTAATTACTTTTTTAGGTAAAGGTGTAGTCCCGGACGCTTCCCCCTACTGTGTCTCGACAGCGAGGACTCAGGCGTTGCTGAAGGCTGATGTAGTAGTATTACTTGGAGCCAGGCTCAATTGGATGCTGCATTTTGGACAGGTGCCGAGGTTCGCGCCCGATGTCAAAGTTATTCAGGTAGATTGTTTAGAAAAGATTCATAGAGGGAGAGAGAGGGAGGGAAACGAGATAGAGGAGGACAGACAGCATGTTGTTCACTTGTTTAAAGGCGGAATATGTCAACCGTATACCATTTTAACCAGGTGTGCTGTGGACTTATTTTAACTTAAATAACTGTATTTTTTTTTAAATAGTTGTAATAATACATTACAGGTGGACATTTCACCGGAAGAATTCCACAACAGCATAAAATCTGAAGTAGCTGTACATTCAGATATCCGGCCTTTTACTGAAGCCCTTACACAAAAACTCGCTTCCAAGAAATACTCATTGCAACCAAGCAGCGCTTGGTGGAAAGCCCTTAACGAGAAGCAGAAGAAAAACACAGAATTTGTTGAGGTAATTATTTTTATATATTTTCTCTTTCATATGTGTCATTGTTGTGACTGTGAGAAAGGGACAAAATATCCAGTGCAAGTAATATGCGAGGTTATCATTATCATTAATATATACGAGGAAAACCTCGTACCTTCTAAAAAAGTAAGATATGTAAATTAGACTATATTACTTAGTGTTTTTGTTTCCGGATTGAATCCATAATTATACTACTTTTATAAAATACCGTTGCCTCTACATACATACTCTTCTATTTCATTTAGTCAATAATAGTAAGACTACCAGGTGGCCGTAAACAAGGTAAGTAGTAAGATATATACGAAACTACTATATACTGGGATGATTGGTTGTATTTAACAAGCAAGCTTTTAATGTTTTTCTTATTTGGTATAAAAATCATGAATCGCAATTTACAGGCCCAAGCCAATGACAAGTCGGTGCCACTAAATTACTATGCAGTATTCAAAACTGTTCAAGCGAGCATTCCAAAAGACTCAATTATAGTTAGTGAAGGTGCCAACACTATGGACATCGGCAGAGGGCTGTTGTTGAACAATCAGCCCCGACACAGGTTAGACGCTGGAACCTTTGGCACTATGGGGGTAAGTCTCATTGTAATATTACGTAATACGATAGTAACCAAGGATCTTGGAGCATAGAGAAATGATTTGGTTATTTTGTTGGTTCATTAGGTATTGTAATATTAACGGTTTAAACCGGGAAATATACTAGTTTTATTTATTTTATAACTACGACGTGACGTTATCTGCCGTCCTCCCGGGCATATCAAGTTTTTTCTTCTTTTCTATTTGTTTATTGAATTGATTATTCGTATTTCGTTCTCGGTATACAAGAATACCCAAAGATTCTCCTGTTTACTCACATAATAAATATATTGTTTTATTTTTTCTATCTACCATCATACGTTTATGTTGACTTGTATTGTGACAGTGTAATTGTATTCCAGCGAAGTGAGGGTAATATGGAAGTAATTGTTTATCTATGAAAAATATTTTATAGGTGGGTCCTGGATTTGCAGTTGCAGCAGCTATGTGGTGCCGCGACTACGCGCCCACTAAACGGGTCATTTGCGTCGAAGGAGACTCGGCATTCGGTTTCTCAGGTATACTTACTGAAGGGATTCTCACAGAAAGAGATGAACCCTTGCAGACATTATTATCTGATGAAGACCTTTATATGTGGAGGCATAACTATTCAACCATAAACCCACTTAAATAAAACACTTAAACGGTTTAAAACGCGATATATACTAGTTAATTATAAATATTGTTATCTACAAGTTAGCCGTGGTCACGGGGAGACTCTCTCTCGTCTGGACCATGGCTGCAAAGCATCCGAGACGTCGGGCCGTAGTAACATAGTAGAAGGTAGAAAGAAGAAGGAAATAAGTTTAACTAATATATATCGCGTTTTAAACCGTTAAAGTGTTTTATTTTAATGCGTAAACTACAGACAGTATTTAACCATAAATCATTTATTGACATTAAAATATGATATATAGATTTGGCTATACTGCTTACAATATGTAATTTTTTTATGATGATTCACTTGAGGAATTTACGCTAGCTATTTAACATCTTAACCTACCACGGATTTATAATATCAGGATATCTAGACGAAGTCCAACATGTTTCGAGAAAAATATAAATTGTTCAGAAACGCGTTGGACTTGGTGAGCATCGGCAGTTGACGTCCTGTACCAATGACATTACTGACCTGTCAGTTGATGTCCCGCACTAGTGACAGTCCCGACAAATGTAATAATTATATTGTTATATTACAGGCATGGAAATAGAAACAATGTTCCGTTACAAACTGCCCGTGATCATTGTGATCGTGAACAACAGCGGGATATACAGCGGTTTCGACAAAGAAATGATGAAGGATATCCAGGAGAGTGGAGACGTCGCGCAATGGTAAGCTAATATTTTCATACAACATTAACAACAAAATATGATTATGAAAGATAAATATAGCTGATGTTCTATAGTATATGTAAACACACAAAATAAATGGAAAGATTTAACAAAATACGCCGATAATTTCTTATTACAGAATATATTTTTAAATCAAACAGTATTGCTGTATTGTATTGAGTTTTAAGACACATTGTATGGTATTATTTTAAATATAACACTTTTAACGGTTTAAAACGCCAAATATTTTAGTCCATTTATTAGCAGACTAAAGATCCGTGACCACGGCTGCTGCAAAGCATCCGAAACGATGGGCCGTAGTTAAAACTAACTTTCAAACAAGTTTGACTAAAATATATCGGGTTAAGTGATTTATTTAAATGTGTACTACTCGCGTAAGCTATAAAAAATTATATTGATTTAATACGAAACCTACTAAGATAAAAATTATTTTATAGCACACCACCAACTGCCCTCTCTAGTGAAGTTCGATACGAGAAGATGATGGAAATGTTCGGATGTTCAGGACACTTGTGTCGTACAGTAGAAGAGATTGAAACCGCGGTCAAAGCAGCCATCAAAGTGACGGATAGGCCCAGCATCATTAACATTCTTATTAATCCACAGGCAAACAGAAAACCACAGACCTTCAACTGGCTTACAGAATCCAAACTGTGATAATATAGATAAAATATTTATATATATATAGTGCTGTCAGAATTATTACATTATCTTTAACTAGCCGATCTAGCAAACATTGTTTCGTCGTTTGCAGCATTTATATTATTATGTTGATACGAATAATTGGTAAGAATGCATTAATTTCGACCAAAGTTGATTACTAAAACAATCGGTTCTTGCGTGAATCTTGAAAATAATATACTGTCGCGGACTTTTTTTATTTAAAGAGAAATCATTTCATAGTTCCGGCGACTAACGCCTTTAAATAAACTCTTCAATTTTATAATATTAGTATAGAGCAAATGGACTTCTGTAAACTTGATCGAAATAGATTTTTATTATTGTAATGAATTCTAGTATAATAAGTGTAATGTAAAGTTAAAGTTACTGTGATAGGTTTGACAGCATGTGGTGCTTATTTTTTATATTGTTAAGTTTGTAATATCAACGGTGTTAAAATTGAACTGGGTAAATAAAACAAGGTGTAGGTTTAAGGATAACTTTTATATTGTCTGTCTATTGAGTCAACTTACATCACATGTTTGTATATGTTGAACTTAAAATTATATAATAATAAATATATTATTTGTTATAAACTAAATCCCTGTATCTTTATTAAACTTCACTGTCAGCAAATGAATCGGCCGAGTTGTGTGATCCAAAGCAAACAGAATATTTATTGGTATTTCACACTTTACTGAGGCAGCCAATCAAGAAGTTTTCTATCACAGTTTGTGCTGAAATAAAACAACCGTTTTAGCAAATAGGGATAAAAGTGAAATCATGTTTCCACCTTTGCGGCGTTGTGGGGAAAAAAATAAATTTTAATAACAAAAGTTATAAGTTGAGAATATCGCAATATGTTATCTAATGGCATTTCTATTCTCTTCAATGACCGTTAAATTGAAATATTTTTTGGATCATTTTCATTATTTAGATCACTAAACATTATAAAGGTATACATATAAATTCAAGAGTTTGTTTGTTCAAATTTCTTAATCCCCCCCCCTTAAACAAAAAAAAAAAAAGGGAAAAAAAAAAAAAAAAACAAAACCTTTTTCCGGGAAAAACACCCCCCCCCCCCAAAAAAAAAAAAAAAAAAAAACCCCCAACAAGAGTTTGTTTGTTTTTTTTTTTTTTTTCCCTCCCCTTTTTCCCAACAAAAAAAACCAAAAAAAAAAAAACCCACCCCTTTTCCCCCTCCCCCCCCCCCCCCCCCCCCAAAAAAAAAGCTTATTACAGATACTAGATATTCAGAAAACCATAGATTAAATTTCGCGCCTTTTTCATCTTTGGACGGTGGTTTGTGGCCGAAGGATTTTCGATATTTCCACTACCCATTTTTCAAACGAAGGTCAACTCGTGTCAGAAAAAAAATAACTTATAAGCATGTTAGGCCCGATGGTAATTAAAACCACGATCTGTTGCCTGTGTCTGACCATACAATCCAATATTGCCACCATTAAAGCGACACGCTATTCCAAACTATAATTTGTGAAATTGTTTTTTTCCCAATTTTTTTTATATTTATCCGACCTCTATTAAAAATATTTGCAAAGTTGTCAAACTTACGAAATCGATACATCTAGAATTTACGCAATAGATGTTGCCATATTTTGCCTAAAGTCCAGATATTTTTATTTATTTAACTAAACTAAATTAAATTGACTGTAAACGTTTTATCATCATTACTGACACATGGTATAACTTAAGTTTAAATAGTCAGAAAAAATAGATATTGCTGCACTAATAATAAAATTGATATATTAAAAAAAAACTCACCTAACTTGCAATTATTGGTTGTAGTCAGTGTGTAAGCATCTTGATCGTAATCGTTGGTGAGTGTGAGATCAGCTCCACGGATGAGGAGCTCATTGCAGGTATAAGGGAAGTCGGCAGCTGCCGCGTACATTAGAGCCGTACTACCAGACTGAAATAAGATTAATAAATATTCTTTATAAATTCTTTTGACATGGCCATAAAAATCTATGCCTCTGACCAAGATAATTATTTCCAATATTTGAACCCGTAACTTAACTGGTCATTGATTATTAACCCATGTAAGGAAACATAAGAAACATTTGAAAAAACGGAATCTAAACATTAAGTAATGTTTATAGTTTACACATAGTACTAATTTCAACAAAGTGCTCTTTTAACGGTTTAAAACGCGAAACGTTAACGTGTTAGATAAGATTAATGGCAAGTTATCTATTATGTTTCGAGTTATAATTGTTAAAAATGTGTTATCAAAAAACATAAGTATTTTTTTATAGATAATATCAATTTAGAATTTGTTATTGTAGCATGGAGTAAATTATAAAAAATAATCCAGAAATATACAAAAAACTAGGCAGCATTATTTTTTATGATATAGGTCATTGCGCATAAATTATTATCTAATAAAAATAATAATTGCTCTAATATGGTGTAATTGCGGAGTTTTTACATTATCCCTATATAACTAGTTTTTCAAAGTAGTCATTTTATTGGTATTTTATGCCATCTGTTGTTTTATTTTTATTTGCCTTGAACCAATTTTGTTTCTCCCTCTATGCCAAAACAGAATGAACAAGTTTTTGTTTTGTTTTTTTTTAAACAAGTAAATACACAGCTTACATCATCTTGAATATCAGCATCAGCACCTTCACTCAAGAGGAGTTTTACAACTTCATGGTGGCCCCCTGCTGCTGCCAGGTGTAATGCTGTTTCACCTTCAGGACCTCGCATGTTGACATTAGCACCACACCTGAAGTTGAAATTAAACAACTTTCAGCTCATTCTATTACCAGGGTGTTCTTGTTTATACATACACATCTACCTCAGTAGCTAAGTAGCTTGTTGATGCCAAGCAAATTTCAAGAGATCAAGTGCTTAAAATATACAATAGTATATATAAACTAAAATCATTCTCATATGACTTAACTTAGCATATAAGAATTTGATAATATTTTTGTGTTTACATGTATGTGCTCTATGAGCATGATTACACGAAATTACAAGATTTGGAATCTCTAAACCTTAATATTATGTTACAAAACAGACAAACACCAAACACTACTTAGTTATGACAAAAATAAGAATTGAAGAAGTTGTTGTAGGGTGTGTACTTTAAACAATAGAAAATCAAAATATATATATATTAGGTATTTTAAATATTACTTAAAGGGTGACTTAATCAGTGTTGTCATTGTTATAGCCCATTGTCCGCTTCATTATTTATACCAAGCAGCGAGGGAAAAAGTTAAACACTTTAGTCAAGATGAATGCATAAACTTAAACATCATTCACTGATAATTTCAATAACTTGTTTAACACAAAAGAGTATTATCAATTATTATGGTAATAACAATGGATTTAATAATATGTAAATAGCAGAAATATCTAACTTTTTCCTTAAGGATGCCAAAACAATAGAGACAAAGCAACAAAGAACAAAAGAATGAATGCTCACCACACAAGGTCCTGGCAGCTGTTTAATTGGCCATAGCTAGCTGCCCAGTGCAGGGCGGTGAGGCCGTGCTCATCCGTGATATCGACATACTGCTCCAGTTTCACGTCCTCGCGGGATATCTCGCCGCGACCAGCCTTCGCGTGAAAGCTACAATCGGGCTGAGGCAGCTCCGGTACTCGCGCCTGCGTGTTACCTACAATCACGACCTTGAACACTTCACAACTTATTCAAATCCTTCGAAATAGATAATCGATAAGAATCCGTACTACGATAGAATAAGACAGATATAAAAGTCACCTCTCTGCAAATTGGTTAGCGCCGTGCACTGCACGGATTTATACGGCGTGAATGCACTTTTCCTTATTCCGTTCAAATTAGGCGCCCAACGCTGATATCCACCGCTGCCACCTTTACTGCTATCTTCACTTCCAGAGTCAAATTCGAATTTTATGGTTTCCAAATTTTCTTGTTTAATATCAAAACCTTTTTCTTCATTTTTAATAGAAACCCCTTCTTCCATCATAACTTCTATAGTAATGAAATTTAAGCGTATATTATGCGCAATAGGAATAATTACTAGAATTCTTAATGAAATAGGAATTAAATTTACTGTACAACGAAGTAGTACACAACACCACCACAGTGACAGTACACACACTACAAGAGGTATATAAATCTGTGTCAATTGTCACTATGCTGACATTATTAAAATCAAAGGCTTCAAACTGTCAACGTCAATATAAAATATGATAAACTTATATTATTATTCGAAATAACGTTGCAATTAAAGGTATTCTCAAAGCCAAGGTAAGATTTGCCTCTACTAAAATTATATGTATTGAGAAACTAGCTTTGCGAAGGTAAAAATTTCATCCACAGATGTTTAAAAAGTAACATCTGTAGTCAAAACACTTTACAATCTGCCAATTGCACCACAGACCCAATGACAGATTAATCTATACCATCTGTATTTTGAATTCAAAAGCGGTTTCGCTTTAATTCGCTTTAAACGCATTACTCACATAAACTTTGCAGAAAGTAAATACACAAATCAAATTTTATTTTAAGAGGTGTTCTAATTGTGTAATATAAAAAGTTTCGGACTTCTGTATACATTTTATACAGGGATGCATTCAGCACAACAGTTACAAATTGAATTGAAAAATGAACTAGTAAAAACTAATCAACTGCTGCATTCACTGTCAGTTACTTTAAAAAACTTGACAGACCGATTTATATTAACATCGAAGTGGTTTACTTGACAAAAAATGTTACTCTTTCGATTTTAGATCCCGAGAGCTGCAGAAAATAAAAAGTCTTACCATGATAGACGGCGAATTGGATACTAATGTCAAACAAGTGGGTATATTTAATTATCAAAATGCTGATCCACCTAAAGCAAAGATCCTAGATCCTTAGAAGATCCTTCAATTGATTAATTATAAGCCCTTAACAAACTTTAAACAAGATAAAGTTTTAACAGTGACAGCCACAATCCTAACACATTCCAAAAAAGATTGATATGAGATATTGAATTCTATACATATTATTTATATACATAACGCAAATAATTTATTTTAATAATAATACATTACACATATATGAGGCTGCTAGAGCTAGGGTAGCCTAGTAACAAAAACATGATTTTCAATAAGGAGGGAAATAAAAATGCACAATTAACTTAGGCAAAAATGAATTTGTATTTATTAGTGTAAGAATTATGTTAACATGAACATGTTTAGACCATATAAATAAGTCAAGTCATAAAATTTCAGATAGCCTAATTTTGCTCTGGCAGGCTCATATTTGATACTATTAAATCCAAGCATAACCTTGTTGTAATAAAAAATAAACTTTAAACTTTAGAATGCATCAGTTATGGCAGAATTAGCAAAACTTCAAGCTATTGATATAGCTAACTTACCACCTCTTGAAAGATTACCCCCTCAATTGAATGAATCTCACCAGACCAATCAGAATTTAAGCTATGAACAACACGAAACTTTCAGAAGTAGCATGGATGATAGTTAATAATTATTTTATTTTATTTTGCTCTGTATAATATAGTAAAGCAAGTTACAAGTTTTATGTTGTTTCATTTATACTGATTTTATTAATATTGGAATTCAATAAAACTAGTGTAATGCTCTAAATATTTTATTATATACAAACATTCAAAATTCAATTTTTGTCTTATAACCTCTCTACTTATATTTATTTATAATAATAAAATAATACCAAACTTAAATATTAGTGAAAATGACTATTATTTCAAATCTACCCAATTCCAAGCAAGTTTGAAATGTGGCAATACTGCTGTAGCCTGTACACATTTTATTTTAAGAAATAATAAACTAGCACCATTTTAATCTTCATAAACTGCACATCAAACTTCTCTTTTCTTTCAAACTAGTTAAACTTGCTATATTTACAGGGTAGTGTGCATTCTAGATAACAGCGTTGATTATATAATAATATAAATCCTGTATTACATATTGATAATAAAAAAGTTTTTTTTTTAATTACACAATTTATGTGAATATGTTTTTGTTTAATTTTTACGAGTGTGTATTCTATTTATTCACTAACTATACCTTAGCGACTTTCCTATGGGGCTACTTTCGTCATTCAATCGGTAAGAAATATATTTTTTTTAAATTGTCGTAATTGTTTAGGCCACAACACAAAATAAATCTATGATCCCTATTCAATATTCTATTTTAACATGGTAACAGCTTAAAGACTAGACAGATTACACCCTATAAACAAGACTAATGTTGAAACACGGCCGATTTCTCCTTAAACCTCTGTTTTCGTAAAGCCTTCTCTTCGGCTTCCCGACGTTTTTCCTCCTGCTCTTGTATTATTTCGTCGTGGAACCTATTTGTTTTAGCGAGCTCCTCAATTTTTGCTTCGAAGAAATTCTTCGCGCCGTTCACTCCAACTTGGTCTACGTTTATTTCTGTAAGCCTTGCTAATGCGTCTAAACCAGAATCCGATTCGAGTTCGCCTGCCCGCGCTTTCCTGTAAACAGAGCGTTCTAAAATAGGTGTACAAGTAAGTTTTTAAACAAACAATTTGATACGAAACCGCGTTGAGTTGTTTTTTATTTCCATTGATAAACTGACATTTATAGAACTGGACATTATATTTGAACATGGTTTAGCTGCAGTTTATTGGTTAAACTATATTAGTGTTTTAGTCCCTTTAAATGCTTTTAGTAGACGTCGGGTCGTAGTGCAAAATGTCTTAAGTAATAATATCATTTAAATAAAATACTTAACAGGTTACAACGCGATTTTAACTACGGCCCGACGGTTCGGTTGCTTTGCAGCAGCCGTTATCACGAGGATACAAAAATAATTTGTAATTAAGTGTTACTAACTCATTTCGCGCTTTAAACCGTTAAAAGTATTTTATTTAAATGTGTATATCATATATAATTAAAATAATATAATCGTTAATATATTTCGCGCCTTAACTTAAACTTGGTGTTTTATATAACTGCATAAAACGGCTTTTCTTCTAAGAAATATTCTCTTTCTTAGGGTTTGAAACACATTAAGGATAAGTATATTTATCATCGATTTTCTTTGCCAGACAAGTCTGGCGAACGGCGCCTTAAAGATTTTAACGCAGACTAAGTTCGTAAACCTCTAAGTTGTCTTATTGTGCAATTTCTTCACTAATATTTGACTTAATCAAATATTTATTACGGTTTGTACGGTTTGTTCTGTAAAACTTCCTAGCGGATTTTTAAAAATATTTTTAAAAATCCGCTAGGAAGTTTTACAGAGCTACTTGTGTCAAAAATAAATAATTAAACTATTGATATATTGTATCTAGTTCAAATTCAAATTCAAAACGTTTATTGCCATAAAATATATTTACAAACTTATAACTAAATGTGTACATAAAAAGAATAATAATATAGTAATAAATATATAAGAGACTAGACCTCCTTCTTCATCACTCTTCTTCTACATAATCCGGGCCAGTCTGAACCGATTATTTTTTGTTAATGTCTTAATTTATTCCCTAATTTAGTAGTTATACGTATATTGAAAAATTTATATAAAAAGGCAAATTAAAAAATGAAGAAATGGCACATTATTCAAATTCAAATTCTTCATGCTCGCCTTAAATAAACTACAGAGATATATAGATATAGAGAGGTAAGAATAGAGATGCGAGAATAAAATTATACTCGACAAGAGCAATGCGACTCTCGCTTCGCATTTGCAATAATGCTGCACAAAGTCTCTACTCCACGCGGACGAAGTCGTCGGCACACCTAGCAATCAAATTATTTTATAATTAAGACTAGTATATTATGTAATTAATACTAAGTTTTCAGCAGCCGTGGTCACGGGGAGACGTGCTGCAAAGCATCCGAAACGTCGGGCCGAAGTTAAAAATCATTTTCAAATAAGTTTAACTAATATATCGCGTTTTAAACCGTTAACGTGTTTTATTTAAATGTGTACTACTCGCGTAAACTATAGACAGTATTTAACTTTTCTGGTTGATTTTTTACACACAAACCCAAATATTTTAAGGAACCCTTTTTTTTTCCAAAATAAAATTTTGCCTATGTTACTCGTGGATAATGTAGCTTTCGAATGGTGAAAGAATTTTTAAAAACGGTCCAGTAGTTTTTGAGCCTATTCATTACAACCAAACAACCAAACAAACAAAGTTTTCCTCTTTATAATATTAGTGTAGATGGCAATCGGTACCAGTCTCAGCTATGCTTGTCACACTCAGCAGCGCTGGTTTTCAGACTGGCGCATAGAAGTTAAGGAGTGATTTTTAGTAAAGTGGTATAAAATAACAGTATCAAACATATACATAATAGAGCAACAATAATAACCATTAATTAATGCACATCTGCTTTCCAAGGAGGTCCAGTTTAACAATAAGTTAATGCAATAAAGCACTTTAACGGTTTAAGACACGAAGTCTCCTCTTAACCACGGACCTTCCGAAACGTCGGGCCGCCGTTAAATATTATCCAAATAGGTTTAACTAATATATAGCGTTTTAAACCGTTAAAATGTTTTATTTAAAATAAATTATTTGAATATCTCTTTTAAAGTGCACTTTATCATTTATTGCTATTAATTAAGGACATAATGTCCTGCTTCTCTTTGGTTACCATGTTTTTAATTTTTCTGAACTTGTAAAAAGGCAACAGAGATGAACAACGCAATTTGTATATCAAAGGGCTACGGAATTTCACCTTTCATTAAATGAACCACATACGTGCATAACATAAAAAAAACTACACCTTGTAAAATATGTCCTTTACCTGTATATAAGTAAAAATTCTCTGAAACTGATTTTATTGTCTCCGTCTTCGTCTACTTCTGATATCATTGCTTTTAGACCGAGGTGTGTCTGTGGAGCTCCTAGCCGTTCCATCATACGTTTGACCTCATTAAGATCCAAAAAGCCGTCTCGCCCTTCGTCGAATCTGAAAGGAATACGTAGTATTTATTTATAATATTTTCAGTCGGATCAGGCAATTACAAGACAATAAGTCAAGCAAAAAAAACCTTTGCAAAGCATTTAGTATTATCGGTTTTATAGTTCTACAAATATAACCAATACTTTAGAGATCGAAATTATACGTATTATCATAATGAAAATGAAACGAAGCGGACGCACAATCCCCACTAGACTCTATTCAATATCTCTCGTGGAATATTAATTTTGTTTTAATATTTTACTGGAGCCTTGTATTCACGGCGTATTACTTTTATGAGTGCTTCTCGCTGTAGTTTCAATGTATTTTTTCGCAAAAAAAAATGAAGTCGTAAGCTTTTCCGTTTATTTAAATCAGATGTAGATACACAATATAATGCAATATAGGTCCAGGGACTAAGACCCGGGGTCAAACAGAGCATAGACAGACGTGTTATCAACTGGCTGGCTGTAAATAAAATAGTCAGTAGAGTAAACTAGATTTTTTCATATTTATAATAAAATTGACCACGATCTATTCAACAGTTTGAACTGTGTATCAAATGTAGATCTTAGTCAACATATTTATAACGATCTGTTTTATGTGTTGCTGTATGTTGCTTGTGGAATCAAGGGCTGTAGGCCACTTTAATGAAAGTCTTGTCAGTGTCGCTTTATGTATCGATTATGTTCAGATTAACCTTACAAGAAAGTTAATGCATGCAATGCAAGTAAATACAGAGATGGAGATGCAAAAAACATTTTATCGAGGACATTAGAATTAAGAGCTTCCTATGTAACTAGGATAAGGCGAGAAATATTAAAAATCTAGTTCGATTGAAAAAAATATGACACGGGCAGGAGTTGAACCGTCATGCACAGACAGCGCTCTAAACTGAATTTTGGTTAATTTATTTATTGTACCATCATGTGTAATAATATAATATTGTGAATAAAGTTTTCAAGACAAATATTTCCATAAGCACTTTTAGCATGAAATCTAAAAAGCTATTAGACTGTTCCACTTCTATCGTACCATACCATACATTACTTCGGTAGTTCTAGACTATTTTAGGCAGTAGGCCTTAATGGTTGCAGTTTACATCTAGCTGCTATACTTTGTACGAAATAGTTTGATATGTTTCAATAGAAATGATATAAGAATACAACTGTTTTGTAAACGTTGTTTAATTTATTTTATAATTTGACAGATGTTGACATCGAGAGTCGATAACTAGAATAAAATAAAAAAAGAAAACTACATTCAAATGATTCTTTATACAATTATTTTCCTATATAAATATTTATAATACTATTCTTTTCACTATTATATAACCAAAGGTTTTTCTAATATAACTGAGTGAGTACCTGCCATCAAAGTAATAAAGTACGTAATTCCTTCTAGAACAATATACCACACACAAATAAAACACTTAAGTGGCGAGAACTGTCAAACTTTTCTTTTTATATATCCACTAGCTGAGTCAGCAACTTCGTTATTTTGGACAGCCAAAATTGTTTTTGCAAACTGTTACCTACGTCACCGATGGCTCGCGACCCGTCGTTCTTGCGAGTTAATCTTAAAACATAGTCACATAGGGTGGCGGGCATTTATTTAGATCATTTAAAGAGGAATCATTCTTACAAACGTATTATTTCGGTATCTTGAACCGTTTATGCAGCGTACACCTCGAAAACCCACAATGATGATATTCTTTTCACATTTTTCGCTGTATCTTCGCTTGTATTAGTCACAGGCCGAGGTTTTATAGTCTATAGCCTTCCTCGATAAATGCCCTAACCAACAAAAAAAGATGTTTTCCATTTAAACCCGTAGATGCCGAGATTGGCGCGTTCAAACAAACAAACTATTCAGCTTGATATATGAGTATAGATATTAGACAAGGTATAGTTACATAAGAGATACTTATTTAGTTCTCTGTGGAAAGTGGGTTGCACATTATGAATACGAATCGTGACATATGAATATAAAAATCTATGCGTGTCACATAAAAACAATACAACAAAGTTATTCGTTGAAATGTAGAAGGTGAGTAAGAGATTATACACCTGTATTTTTCTTGTTCCTTACGTGTAATATTATACATGTGATTCACAATGACTAATATTTTCTTAAAATTACTACCACGCTTATTATTTGGTTAATACCGCGAACCCTAGGTTTTACTAAAGTTGAGTTCAAATCATGTGATGGGGGATTCAAACATGTTGGATATCTGGTTAAATGGATAAGAATATCGAAATTCCGTCCGGGTTACGAATCACCGTCCATACATTTCATTTTGCCGTGAAGTTTAATCGCGTTTTGGTCTATGGATTTCCGAATATCCAAAGATCCAATCCGAAATAGGCCGCCGGTTAACCTTTTTGAGATGTTATAATATGTCTAGTGTAATTCACCTTCTATTGAGTAAACCCCAGGGTTGCCTGTTTTCCATCACAAAAAAAATCCGTCCAGAGAATGACAGTAGGCGTAGTAGTCCTAAAATTCTTTTTCCCGCGAACAACTGGACTTATGTCCAGCTGTGGGAAAAAGTTATATATTTACGAAACGTTAGGGAATGGCTAAAAATAAAACCCGAGATAAAGAAATACTAAAGTTCTTTTATTAATATAACCTTCTATTTATTGCGCTACCATACTAAAATCAAGGTCACCATGTCACGTTTTACGCGTCCAAAATACAAAACAGTAAATGCATAACCTACAGTAAAGCCTAGGTCATATGAGTGTAGGTAGAAAAATGTAGATTTTCTGACCGCTGGGCTCTTGAAGTTGGATGACGTTAGAGACCCTGTTGACCTCAAATCTCAAAGAAGCAACAAAGGCGAGTATTAAGCCTATACAAAAATATTACTAAGTATGAATTTCATATTGTCCGTAGTTTACGCGAGTAGTACGCATTTTAATAGCACCCTAACGGGTTAAGACCTGAATTATATTAGTTAAACTTATTTGAAAATTATTTTAACTACGGCCCGACGTTTCCCCGTGACCCGACGTACCGGCTACTGCAAAGCACCCGGTACGTCGGGCCCGGGGAAACAATCTATTGTTTCGCCGCGGTTCGAACCCAGGAAACGTTCAACCCCTTATCTACAAAAGCGGACAATCTAACTTGAACAATTTATTATAAATAGATTTACGACATAGAAATGAAAACCTAACAGGCTAACGCGGTAATGCGTTACGTAACGAAGAGGTTTACCGCGATACAAAAATAGTTCTGCCAACTTTAGATTAAAAATTTAAAAACTACATATTTCCTCCATTTGTCCAAATGTATTTCTTTGACAGCTGCAATATTATGCTAAATCTACACAATATTTCCGGTCTATAGTTGGAATTTGACTATTAATTATTAAACACACACAAATTGTGACCGCTTCGTAACTAAACAGTTAAACGTTGATTAATAGTGTTGCATTAAGCTCTAAGAAAAATTTGTGCAGTTGGTCGGGGCCAGACATCTATTCAAGTACTTGTTTGTAAATAAAATCTATCGATAATACGGACACAGGAATGTGTTCGTGGTCGAAAAAAGGGTATAGACAATTGTTTAAGGTTATGTTATTTCACAGCCCGACGAAAAGATTCTAGATATTTTTTAAACTTGTAATTTGTTTATAAACAAACGATCAGATAAGCGGCCATTTTTGTATTTAGTTTATCTTGCGATAGTTATACATTTACACAATCAACATAATACGGTAAATACAGGCTTAAACAAAATACAGATAATTAAAATACATACATGTACTTTATGCAAGAACGTATTCGGTGTCAACAGCCTATCCTTTGAAATTCTATTGTTAACCATAAGTATACTGTAAGTGTGACAATTAGTAACAGTCAGTTCGTTATGGCTGCTAGGCACACATAATGTGTGTTTGCCTAGTAGCCATCCCGTTTCTTCTTAGTGGTTTGGGACATATTTCTGTATCTATATAATAGAATTTTATTTACAAACAAGTCAATCAGACTTTTGTAACTTTCTTGCCTGATTTGGTTTCGTTGCAATGCGTTTATGTGTTGAGCCACGGTGGCATGAGTATTATCTGTTCCGTGAGTTGTACATTTAAATAAAACATTTTAAACCGTTAAAAACGCAATCTTCTCTACTACGGCTCGACGCTTCGGATGCTTTTCTGTGACCGTGGTCACTGGGTCAAGGAATAGATTGCCAATAAATTCACTAGGCTATTTCGCGTTTTAAACAGTTAAAGTCTTTTGTTGGAATAACGTACTCAGTATTTATTTAGTACGGATTTGACAAATATGTAAAAAACGTGACTTGAATCGGCGGTGTAAATTGGAGCATTCTATAATAGAACACAGCAGGAGACAATCACAATAAAAATATCTTTGTTATTATATCCGACAAGAAATTCGATTTTCAGTATCTTTGCGGTTGAGTTGGTAATCTATAAAACGATTAAATTTATCGTTTTAACGATAAATTGACCCATAAAAGTATCGACGTGATAAGCTTTCTGTATCCAAATCGAAAAAAAAATCTTTTTTACTAAAAATGAAAAGCCAACATAGGTCGACATCTGGCTCAGATGTTATATGACTGGGATATTTGGCTTTCCATCAATTGAACGTCATGCTTGCCTGCCTTCCTTTATCATAAAAATAATACAAAAAAAATCACTTGCTTAAATCTTAGCTTTTATATCTAATGCCGCCTTTGTTTAATAATAGCAGAATGATCAGTTATTAATTTCCGTACATTAACCAACATGGCTAACATTTTATTTTCTTTCAACAAAGACGCCCGCATAATAATATCAGTATGTCAAAACAGGAATAAACCCGGTCTTAGCTCTCCGGAAATTACAGGAAGAATATAAGTATATATTGAGCTTATCTAGCTCATTTATAGCCTTTGTAAAAGCATGTTACAGTTTTAGTATTATGCATGCTTTATTAAAAAACCCCAGGATTCAAATCCGGGAATATTTGTCCACCAAGAAAACAAGGCAA